CGGACTGCTGGTTAATCACTGCTTCTCTTCATCTGAATTCCATGCTTTTTGCCCCAGGAATTAGGGTCTTGCTCCCGCTTTGAGGTGGATGTGGTGTGTCCACACGCGGAGGGTGGGGAGGATCCTGATGGGAGGCGTCAGGCCGAGAAGCGTGGAGAGTCGCGTGTTTGCGTGACCCGTGCGATTTTTCTTGTGTGTATATATATAAAAAATCTGCAAGTGATGAGTCAGGAAAATGTTGTCGGTGTTTCCTGGGAAATAGCTGAGGTCGTTATTTTCTTTCTGTGGTATTTTGCTTTAGTTGCCATGGAAATGCTTTCAGAAGGGTTTTATTCTGCAGTCCTTTGAATGGCTTCGAAGTTTTCCTGCTGGTCTGGATCCGCTCACAGCAGTGGAGCCTTGGGCTCAGAGGGGACCTGCCCCTGCCCGGCCACCCCACGCATCCCTTTGTGCAGGACAGAAGGCTTTTTGTCTCCTGTTTGTGGGCAAGGGGAAAGCACCCTGTTACCTAGATAGAAATCCAGCCCATCCCATCCCTTCTGCCACTGGAAACCTTGCTTGAGAACTTCTAGTTGGTTTAACAAGGAAAAAAAATGCAAAACACCAAAATAATGCATTGTAGCTTATATCTGAGTGCTGAAAAGGGGGACAGTGCTGGCTGAGCTCTGAGATAACATTACCCAGCATCTGGAAGCATCAGCAGAGAGGTGAATGGGATAAATGTCTTCCCCTGGTGGAGCCAAAATCTGGGTGAGCCCTCCGAGTCCCCAGGTCTCCAGCCCTTCTCGCCCCTCCTGTGCCCCAGCCTCCTCCCCGCTGTGCTCGGTTGCTGTGTGGTGCCTGTGAGAGGTGCCACGCTGTCCTCTCCCGCGGTGTGTGCTGCCAGAGCTCATCAGCATGCTCTTGGGTACATCAACAAATCGACACTGCACAGGCACAGAGCTAACAGGGGATGATTTATCCAGGGCACCACGTCTGTGTGTCCAGCGGGGTGAGATGTCCTGGGGACGAAATTCGGTATTTATGGGGAGGACTCGTGGGAAGAGCTGGTGATCCACACCATGCCCAAGGTGTGCTTGGATCTTGTTCTTTCTGGGTGCTGCTCATTTAATCATAGGATGCTTTCTTTTTAATTAGTCACTGCTGCTACTGATGAGGAAATTAGCAGGCTCTTCTCTTAATGGAAAGTGTGACTCCGGCAGATGCGCCGTGATGGAGCGGCGTGCAGGAGGCTTTGTGCGGCACAAAGCTGCGCGATTTGCACCTTGAGCGTGCAGACCTACACGGGGCTGTGGTTCCCTGCAACACAAAACAAACCCAGACAGGTTCCTTCTTCCAAATCCATCGCTTAGTGAAAGGATCGATGCTGCTTACCTCCCTGCCTGCCGGATCCTGCAGGGAAGATGCTGCAAGCTGCTTCTTCCAGCCATGTGCCGGGTGGCGCAGGCTCACTCAGGTGTGTTACATCCAGAGCTGGTCAGTCCTGGTTTGATGAGATAGCTGGTGCCAGAAAATGGCAAGTTATCAAAATTGAAGCTGGTTGTAGGAGGGAAGCTGTTTCAGTGAACTTGCGTCAAAAAATAATCTATTGAAATACGTTGTCTGAGATATTTGAAACATCCATTTGAACGTTTGGGGAACAAAAAGCTCGTGTTCTTCAAGCTGACTTATTTATATTTTTTAATTTCAGATGATTTACAGTACAGAGCAAATGGATAAGGGAATAGGGACTGAAACAGAGGGAGGGCTCGCAGAAATTTGGAGACACAGTGTTTCAGTTTGGAGACGCAGTGTTTCAGTTTGGAGATGCAGTGTTTCAGTTCCCCACATCTGAAACTCCTCTGTCTTGGTTCGGATCGGCTGACAGTTTTAATTCCCATGGGACGGAGAAGCCACTTCCCTGCAGTATTTTAATGATGTCTAAGGAAAGATGCCTCAGACGCATTTTTGATTTCTCTAAGGCAGCAGCATCTCCTAAACAGCCTTGTTATCTGTGCATGTCTGCAGCTCTCCGGGAATCCCGCAGCGGGGGCTCTCGGAAGCGCCCCCGGGGCCTGAAGCCCTGCTGCCAGCCGGGATGCACGTCCCCTGCGGCAGGTTCGCAGCCTCAGCCCTCTTCCATCTGCAGAAATAATTCCCGTGTGTGTGAAAGCAGCACTTGTGGCCAGGGCCTGGGCGAGCGCCCCAAGGGCTGGCAGTGGTGATGTGTCCCTGGAAAGGGACCCAGAGCTGAGCAGAGGCCTGGGAGCTGTGCGCTGGGGACTCCCCTGCTGGGAGCACACTGTGAAACCCCTCGAGTAGCTCATGTCACCCCCACCCGCTGCTCGGGGACCTGCTGCTTCCCAGGACAAAGTAATTCCGTGGCCCTAGAGTGCCTGGAGCAGCCGTTCCTCCCTCGCCTCTCCCTCCCCGTGGTCTCTGGCCCCAGGGGAGAAGTCTCCTCTTCCCTTCCCGTTCCAACCTGTCTTGGCCATTCATCTCAGATCCGGGTTATTCTCAGCTCTGTTTCAGGAGATCCCACTCCCCAACCCAATGTCTCCAGTGTTAATATCCTTTTCCTGCAAGGGAAGTAGGAGTGTGTGGAGGAGGAGCAGGGTCCTGGTGGTTTTTTTTGGGGGGGGAAATGCAGCGGGAGCTGGGGCTGCGGGGCGCAGGATGCTGAGCAGCAGCAGGGAACTGCGGTGGCACATCCATGATGCTGTAGTAGGGCTCGGTGCTGTGGATCTGGCTGTGGGGGTCTGGCTGTGGTCACCGGCTGATTTTGGCTCCCTCTGGTTTCCAAAACAGTCGGGAGAAGCTGTCCTTTCAGATCTGGCAAGGCACTGCCCGTGCTTTCCTTGGGGACAACGTCTCCGCTTCTGGGGAAAGCAGAGCCCTCTCTGTCCATGAGCAGAATCAGTCCCTGCTGATTCCCACCCCTGGCTTCCCTGAACTCATCTCCTCTCACCTCTCCGAGTGGAGGCTGAGGTCCTGACCCTGCTGGGAGGGCGGCAGCCAGCAGCGGTGCCCCCGATGGCTGCGGGCACCCCGGTGCCACGAGCCGCAACCTCTGTGCTCCCTGCTCCGACACTGATGGGTTTGGAGGCTGGGCCAGGAGCTCCGTGGTGCCCCGGGTGACACCAGCCTCCGTGCTGGGTTAGCGGTGCTGAAGGGCGAGAAGGAAAACCTCCAGGAACCGAGAAGGAAAGCCTCCAGGAACCCGCTGCTTTTCCCCACAGTGTTACTGCAGTAATGAGAGCAGCACCGCGGTGTCAGGGTGCTTCTGAATGAGTTGATTTTTTTTTTTTTTGACTAATGTAGGCTTTTAGCTATTTGAAATCATCCTGAGGTGCAACTCGACATACAGGTTCTTGGCCTATTTGTGACTTTGTGTCTGGGTGCTCCCAGAGGTATGCAATGTTAGAGCAGCGCGGTGTTTAATATCGGGAGCATTTGTACTTCAGCTCTATATCATGTCAGGTGTGTGCTTGGCAAATCTGGCCGAGGCATCTGCTCCTCCACAAGCGTGTATGAGACACAGGAAACATTCCAGCTCTCCCCTCACTGTCCCCTTTTTCTTTTTTTCAGATACTTTTTCTTTTTGATGCAGCCATTTCCCGCTTTGCTACGCTGGCACCACTGCTTTGTCATCCCACCGGAATCAGTGCAGGTCCCTGGGGGTTGTGTGTGCTGAGACAGCAGCAGGCAGGTTTAGGTCCCCATCTTCCATCACACCGGGCTTGGAGGAATTGAGCTAAAAGGGCTTGGCCTCGATGCTGAGACATCGGCTGCAGAAACAAAGGGAGTTCAAAGCCCGTGTGGGTTTAACTGTTTATTTGTCAGTGTATGCCTGTAAAGCTTTGGTTACTGGGGTTTCTCAGCCTCCGAACCATGGCCGATGATGCGGTGACCAACGTGGTGACCCTGTCCCCAGCCACCCCTTTGCAGCTCCCACACTGCTGGGTTGGAGTTGGGTTTGGGACATCTCTGCAGCTCGTGCTGCCCCGTGACCAGGCGTTGGCAGCTCCTGGCATGCTGTAGGAAGTTTTTGTTGCTGCTGTTGGCCATAAAAGTGTTTTATGGAAGTGGTGGGTGCAGTCAGCATCCCACCCATGCACATCACACCTTGGCTTCTGCGCCTGGCGCAGCCACCCTAAACCCGTGCGTCATGAAACTGGGGCTGTGCATTGGGGTTACGCGGGGAGAAGGGCTCTGCTGCTGCAGGCTCTGCTCCGGCCTTTCCTGTCGATGAAGAGTCTGATCCTGAACAGACTACACCGTCGGTTTTTGTCTTCTGCCATATGTTTTCCAATAATGCTCGCCCACCCGCCGGGGAAAGCGCAGCGCTCGGTGTCTGCAGGCATTGTTGGGAACCCTCTGTGAAATATGCTAGAAAAACATGAAAAGTATTAATTTAGGTCTAAGATTACAAGAAGTCTGTTTGTTGTGGGTTTTGTTGTTTGTGTTTTTTCATACCTCTATTTTTAGATTGCCATTCTGAAATGCCAGGATTGTGCCCTTTTTGCAGGAGGGGAATTCAGGGCTTGCTGATAATGAGGTTTTATTGAGACGTTTCAGGCATAACACCTAACGTTTTTGCTCTTGAAAATCTCAGCTTAAATCTTTTGATGAGACGTTAAATAAAAAGGCAGGCTTGAAATGCTATTTGCATGAGAACCATCCGAGTTTCCTTTCTGTTTAAGGAGGGTTGGAGGATATGAAACCTTGGTGCGTGATGCTCCGATGCAAACCTCCCGTGGTGGTGCTAAAGCTGCGCTTTACGTGAAGTCCATGTCTGGATTTACTTCCCCAGCTTACAACAGACGTATAAAACTTAAATACTCGAATGCCATTCTTCTGCTCTCTCCTGGGCTTTCAGCAAGCTGTTGCCACGTCCTCCTTACACCGTTTCCATCAGTTATGTGGGCTGATGTATTTCAGGTGTAAGCGTGCACAGTGCCTAACAAACAGGAGCGGTCGGAGCTGCTGATCTTGTCCCTTTCCTCCCCTTCCTTCCCTAGCCCGAGGAGCTTACCAATGCCCTGGAGATCAGCAACATCGTCTTCACGAGCCTCTTTGCCCTGGAGATGCTGCTGAAAGTCCTCGTTTACGGTCCCTTCGGCTACATTAAGAATCCATACAACATCTTTGATGGGATCATCGTGGTGATTAGGTACGCAACCAGAGCTTGCTTTATGCGTGTTTCCCCTCATTTGACTGGTTCATTAAAACAGAAAATAATGGAGAGTGGGCATAAATACCTTCCCGTGTCACTTCTGTAAATTAACGCACAAAGATACAATTACTAATATACGTCTTGGGGCTATTTTATGGCCATTTTAGAGAGAAGCCTGCACAGAGAGCTATCCATCCCAATGTCCTGGGAAGTCTAGCATCCAAGTGGCACAACCAGTGCCCAATTAAGTAACTGTCTGGCTTTTGGCACGAGCAAAGGCTGTAATTGCACCTGCAGCTGCAGCCGCTGATTTGCAGGCGTGCTCTTGACACTCCGGTGGGGCTCTGCTCCTTGTGAGCCTGGCCAGCATCCAGCCCACAGGAGGCATTGGCAGCTCCTCTCTGCCCGGGGCTGGCTTCCCGCTTCCCATCCTTCTTCCCCCCTCTCCTTCCCTTCCTCTCCTCTGTGCCTTTGCGTCGGGCATTGCCTTCTCATCCCCTACTGACCTTTTTTTTCCCCCCTCAGTGTGTGGGAGATCGTGGGCCAGCAGGGGGGGGGCCTCTCTGTCCTGCGGACCTTTCGGCTGATGCGGGTGCTGAAGCTGGTCCGCTTCATGCCGGCCCTCCAGCGCCAGCTCGTCGTCCTCATGAAGACCATGGACAACGTGGCCACCTTCTGCATGTTGCTGATGCTCTTCATCTTCATCTTTAGGTGGGTGCTGGGTGAGAGACATGGGGCCCTGGTGCATGAGCTCTGGGTGCTCAGGGGTCCCTACCAGGGCTCGTCTGAGCGAGCAGCCCCATTGCTGGCCAGTGCTGGCAGCGGCTTGCTGGATAATTCCTCTTAACTCCGGCCAATTGAGACATCTGTCTTTGCAAGACGATTTGCAAGGAAAATCTTTCGGCTGGAGGATTCCTTGACATCCCCCCAAGACAGCAGTCCTGTTGCTTACAGCTAAGCAGAAAGCCAGGTGCTAAAAATGCTGCCAAGGAGAAGGGCAGCGTTCCTAAAATGCAGCCAGCTGTGCTGGTGCTCGTGCTCTGGCCCGGCCTCTGTGCAGAAGAGAGGATCTGCAGCAGGGATGTTAGAAAAAAAAAAAGCTTGGCGTGACCCTGAATTTTTGGGTTTTGGTCTAGATTTCACAAAGAGCCTGGCCCTGGTAGCAGCTGCTTCTCCTGCAAGCCGAGGGCTGACAAAAGCCCGTCCCTTCGTGGAGCAATGTGCCTTTCCCCAGTGAGACACTTTGCTCTGAAACACCTGTTTGCTGCCACGGTGCCGAGCAGAGCTGTGAATAATTTGATTATTCAGGTTACTGGCCGAGAGCAGGGGAAAACAAATGATTCTTTTAGCATCAGTCTGAAATGAAAGGTATTCTGTTTTCTTGTCAGAATCAGGAAAGATGTTGTGGGTCCCTTGATAGGTTTCATTGAGGCATTTCACAGGAACCCTTTTTGTCTTCCTAATTCAATTTAAGCCTGTTTTGCTGAAAATGTGTCATTGCAAAACAGAAAGTCAAAACATTTTGTTTAGAAAATGTTGAAACAGAATGTTTTGACTTACAAAAAAAAACAACAACAAAGCAGAAGAAAAAGAAGGATCAGGCACAGTTCTTGGCTGAAACCATGTGGCAGGTCTGACCCAAATTCACAGTCCGTTTGCATGATCTTGAGGTATGATTTTCACTGAATGAATGATTCATCTTGTAAAAAAAAAAAAAAAATCAATAAAATCACCCGGCTGAAGTCAGGAGGCACAGTCAGCCCTGCCGTGTGGCTGCTCCTCACCGCCGGCCCCGTTCAGCCCGCGCTCTGCCTTGCAGCATCCTGGGGATGCACCTCTTCGGCTGCAAGTTCGCCTCCGAGCGAGACGGCGACACGCTGCCCGACAGGAAGAACTTCGACTCCCTGCTCTGGGCCATCGTCACCGTTTTCCAGGTACAAACCAGAAAGCACCCAGCTCGTGTGGGTTTTGGGGCTGCGAGTGCTGGGGATGCTTTCCAAAGTATCCGATAGAGCTTAGCGAAACTCCTTGCCATGGGAGGGAGAGGGCCTTACACCATGAGGGAGGGGATGGAGGGGTTTCAGGCCGTATTAGCAAATAAATCAGGTTAATGAGGAGAAACCCCGAGGCAGAAATACTGACTGTGGTTATAGCTACGGGTGGCAGCCCCAAAGCAGGGTGCCTGTGTGTGTCAGGCTGCCCACCCAGAGCAGACACCCAGTGCGCTGTTCTCCGGTGTCTCCATTGTCCTGATACGTTTTCTCTGCAGATTTTGACCCAGGAAGACTGGAACAAGGTCCTCTACAACGGCATGGCATCTACCTCCTCCTGGGCTGCTCTCTACTTCATTGCTCTCATGACGTTTGGGAATTATGTTCTCTTTAACCTGCTGGTGGCCATCCTGGTGGAGGGTTTCCAGACGGAGGTAATGTCCTCACGCTCGTGCCTTCGCTGTCCTTTGAAGTTTTCAGGGCCTCCAAACCAGACCCAGGAATTTTGATTTCTGAAATGGGCAGCAATGTACTGCTGGAGTGGTACAAGAAAAGAAGTGGGGAAAAATAGAAGGAAAAAAATATATATGTATCTTTTATTTTTTTTCCCCTTCTTTTTTCCTTAGCGAGGGTGCAATTTAATTCAGCAAGCCCTTTAAGCGAAGGGCTTAAATGAAAGGCATTGTTAGCGTTAATGCAGGAGGGAGAATTCAGCGGTGAGTCAGGCACTGCGGCTGGGATAACTGCTATGACAGTGTCTCTGAAACGCTTCTTGCCGTGCTTGTGAGCTAGATTAAACCCCTCCTGAAAACTTACGCAGGCTGCCGGGAGATTAGTCTGATTGCCTATTTATTTGATGGCCCGCGCTGATGGAGCTCCTCTCGTCCCCAGCACTGCGGTGCTCTCCCCAGTTTAACTTGAATGGGGCTTTGTCCCTGCCAGCTGGGAACCTCCACGGGGCAGCTGTGGGCTTTCATGAAGGGCAGGGGGGGTAGATTTGAGCTGCACGTTTTTCCCCCAAACTGTGCAGCTGGGAACAAACAAGCGTGGCAGCCAGTCCCCAGCATGGAGACCTTCCATGCCCACTGCCTTGCAGGGGTTGTCCAACTTCGGAGATGCTTGGTGGGAGCGAGGGGGTTTTGCACCCTACCCAGGATTTAGGGAGGAATATATACCCTAAAACCATCCACTGGGATCTGCTTGTATGGGCTGTGCTTCTACACGTTATCTCTGCTTTTTATTAAGCGTGCTGGGGTGGCTGAATATTATTTAAGATTGGTTGCTTATCACCCTATCCGAGCAGCCTATGAAGGGCTGTGCACAGAACCGTATTTATTTTTATTATTATTATTATTTTTTTGCAGTGCAGTTTAGAGTTACATTAATGGGGTCGTACCAGGAGAAGATAGCTAGAAGAATTTTTTTCTCTTTGTCTGTATCGTCTCTCTCTGTGTTGGTGCTTTCCTGTTTAATTGTTATTGCTGTAGCTGTTGCTCTCAGTAACTCCCCCCCTGCCATTCAGCTGAGGGGAAGGTCACTGCCAGGTTCTCCTCAATAGCTCAATGTTCCCTTGCCTGAGCAAGAAGAGGTAAAATCTCCTTGCTGCTTGTGGAGTGATGACAGCTTTGAAACCGACCCTTTGCTCAGGCTAGCAAATTGGTTCTCCAAAGGTCACCTCGGTGGAGGAGCCCCCACAGCCCCTGTGTCTCGCTGCCTTACAGTGCATTGTCCCATTTTCTGCCCCCCAAGTCCTCGAGGGCGGTGACACCCTTGGCCAGCACCACGCTATGAGCATCCCTGAGCTCGCCCGCCGCCCGCTCTCACCCGCGCCCCCCGCACGCCCGTGGCACTGGGCAGCAATTTCTCACGCTCGCTTTGCGGCCAGCTGGTCCCACGTCATGGCTCGCTGTAAGGTCATGCCCTGCCTTAATGCTCTGTGATTTTATTCCTCCAGCCATGTCCTTGTGGGTACATCTTCCTCGTGCTGTGACCGAGATTTGAGCGCAGGGACCAGAACCCAGCACAGCCTCCGAAGCCCAGACCCCTCTGTGCCTTTTGGGGCTAATTCTGCCCAACCATGGCAATTTCAGCGGGCTTGCACTTGATTTGCGTAATCTGCGACTCTGCTTACGGTGCTCTTTGATGTCTCAGCCTTTTAGGATGGTGTTTTAGTAATCACCTTCCCTCCACGTCCTTGTTATCCTGAGCTCTCAGCGCTCCCCCAGTAAATGGAAATGTGATAAAGACAAACCTCGGCTGAAGCCGAGCTCTCTGCAGCAGAGGGGGAGCGAGCACATGCCGAGGCCAGGAGCCTGAGCTCACCGTGGTGGGAGCCAGCGCTGCCGCAGCAGACAGACCCTCACCCGCCAGCTCCGGCCTTGCAGCTTTGTGTTTGTTCAGCTTTGCTCCTCCAACACATCTCATTCTGGTTTTTGCTAGCGAGCACACAAAGGCTCCTCTCCGAAGCAAAATTAATAGAGAGATCACCTCTCGCTGAAAACAAACCCCTGCATCTCTCTCCAGTGGTTGCACTCAGCCCTTCTCCTGAGTTAGGTGTTTTTCCATTCTCCTTCAGCTGTCTGGGCTGAAACTCAATCCCAGGGCTGCTGCCTTTATCTTCCTGGTCCTTGACTGCCTTCCCTCAATCTGCGAGCACCTCGTTAATTTTAGTGCATGGCTTTGCAGCCCCAGTTGCTAGGCAGCAGATGTATATAAGCAGTTGGGAAACAAAAAGGACCTGTTCCAAACTTTGAATATGGAGCAATATATTTTGCAGGGTTGAGTTTCTTTCCCTTTCTTTTCTCTCCTTTTTTTTTTTTTTTTTTTGGATAACCTGCTTCTCTCGTGCAAGAGGCACACGCAGGACTTTATGCAACGCGGTTATTTTTGGACGCGCGCTCTCTGATTTAACTCGGGTCTGGCGTTCGTGCGGGGAAGGTGAGCAGGGGACTCCGTTTGATGGAGCTGCTAATTTGAAATCGCTGCCTGAACTCTCAGGTCCCTGCCCTCGGGATTTCTCTCTTCGAAGCAAACAATGACTCCTCTCTGTCAGACATAAAGCTCCTCTCCCGAGGGACTTCCTGACAATATTATCTCCAAAGTGTGCTCTTCCATTGGCGATCCTCCCAGTCCTGTGTTCCCTTGTCCTCCCTCACTCCTGGCTCTGGCCCTCTCCCTGCCTTGTGTCCCCCCCAGGGCCACCCCCAGCATGCCCACTGGCCCCTGCGGGAAGGATGCTGCCTACGCTCTGGGTGTAGCAGCAGTCCCAGCAGAAAACAGGGCTTTGACTTCTTCTTCTGAAGAAGACTTCTTCATTTTCCCTTTGTAGAGATTTGGTGTTTTTGTTGCATCCTTTTGCATTCCTATCAGCTTTGTTGGGGTTGTCCTTGTGAGAGAAAAGTGTCTCCGTGTTTCCTTTCAATGGCTAGTCCACACCTCCCTCTTTCTTACAAGCACAGACTTTAAATTAAGTGTCCGTCGCATGGCTTGCAAGACACTGTTCTCCCACTCAGCCCCCAAACTGATCAGTCTTAAACTCTTCATCCCGGCCAAGAGCAGGGCAAAATGGCATTGCCACCTAGAGAAGCAGTTGAGGAGGGGGTACCCTGTGCCTCCTGGTGCCCCACACCATGCGCCCAGGGCTGTGCCACCTTCCCCAAGTGCTGCCGGGGCTGATGGCAAGCGGAAGGGTGCAAATACCTCGGGCTTTCCAAGTGGGCCAGGAAATGCTGATTTCTGGCACCGTGAAGAGGTGCTGGAGGTATTTTACCTGGCTGTAAGAGGACTGATACTGTGTTAATCAAACATTCATTAAAAGCCTCCATTGCTGCTTAATGACGGCGTAATAAATAGAGATCCCATTATGCAGCTGCAAAAAGGAAAAAAAAAATCGTGTTTTCAATAATTAGCTGGTGTTTCATTAGCACAATTATCACTTAGGAGCTGAATCAAGCTCTCTGTTTGAAACACTTAATTTAAAGGTAAGGCTGGCCTCTTTGGAGGGCTGTGCTCCACCTGAGGTCTTCCACCCTCTCCCCGCGGAGCCGGCTCTCCATCGCGGCCGCACGCTGCCCTTCTCCTTCCCTGCCTCTCCTCGTTTTTACCCAGATTGATTGATTGATTTTTTTTTGACTCCCCGCTCCGTTCTGCTGTTGAAAGTGTGAAAATTGAACCCCCCCTTCCCCTTCCTTCCCCCTCCCCTCCCTGCCCCCGTTTCTCCTTCAGGAGATCTCCAAGCGAGAAGACGCGAGCGGGCAGCTGAGCTGTATTCAGCTGCCTGTCGACCCGGCGGCGGTACGTACGCCCGCGCATGAGCCCACCCGTGCCCCCCGTGGTTGTGTCCCCTCGTGGTGCCTGGTCACCCTTCCCATCGTAGTAGCTGTCGTGCTTTTGGGGGTTGTCGGGCTGGTGTCGTTCCTTTCTTTTTTGTCGTCCTCATTGTCAAGTCAGCCTTGGTTTTGAGTCCCGTCCTTCTCTGGGGGAGCTGCAGGAACGAAGGTGGGTGCTTTGGGGTGGCCGATGGGGCTCCGGCCCCAGCTCTCGCCGACCCTTTTGTGCGGCCCTAAAATGGGGTAAGCTCGCCCATGGGGCTTGCAGCAGCTTGGTCCGAAGCGTGCTCGCAGCCTGGTCACAGCCGTGGAGGTGTGGGCGGCGATGCTGGGAGCAGCTCCTGGCACCCAAGGGACCTGGAGTCAATCCCCTGAGCAGCACGGCTGTGGGTGCAGGAGCCCCACGCTCTGCAGGATGAGGTGGGATGGAGGCAGCCACCGCTGGAAGATGCTTTGGGGTGCCCAGGGAAGGTCAGCTGTGATGTGGGGTCCCGGTGAGACTCTCCTGAGCATGGAGCAGGTCGGGATGAGCAGGTGGCAAAGGGCAGCAGTGAGCTGCACATCTCCTAAGTGCAGCATGCCCCGAGCCTCACTCGTCTCCCGACCTCATCTTTCTCTTCACCACCCCCTTCCCTTTCTGCCCTCTCTGAGACATCTGGCTTTAACTTCAGCACAAAAGCCCTTTCCATCACATCCAAGTGCGCTCTGTCACCGCGGGTACACACTGCCTTAGCCACAGTGCCGCGGGGCCCTTCTCAACCTACCCCCATTTTCTTGTAACCCCCTCTTCTCTCCTAACCCCTTTTCTATCCAGAAAGGCAAGCTGGGAGTGCAAGAACAGGTAACGGGCAGCAGCCCCGGGCGCGGCGCTTGCTGGTTCACAGGGGATGCTTCTGCCCCCCCGCTGTGGGGTTTGGTGCTGGGGGGAGTCCCCCGTGGCTCCGCTTCCCCCCCTCAGCACACGTCTCGTTGTGCACCCTAAAACTTTCCTCCGGGCTGTCGGAGAGCACTCCAGGAATATGAATTACGTCGGATTTTTTTCCCATTATTTATTCGCCTTTAATAACCCATTAGGGAGAAGTGAGTAATTCCTGGCAGGCCCCCGGAGCTGCGGAGCCGGCGGCGGGAGCGTCCCTGCAGCCAGCTGGAGCCCGCGCTCGCTGGAGCCAGACAGCCCCAAATCCAGCGAATTTCGGGCCAGCCTGGCTTCACGGCCCCCTCTCGCAAGGTGCATTCCTGACCTTCCCTGCTTCCTGCAGGGCGGGCTTCCCTGGACAGCACAGCAGTCCCGAGTGCTCAGGAGGGGAAGGGAAGAGCCAGCTCTTCGCATCGCACTCTCTTTCGCTTTAAAACTGTGTCTGAGAGTGTCCAGCCTGCCTGGAAAAGAAACAAAAAGAAAGCAAAGCAAAAATAAAAATAAAAAAAATGCCCTAAGTGTTTAGCAAACCAGGTGGGGAGCAGCAGAGCTGACCCCTGCCCTAACCACGAGGTGCACAGCACCAGACGTGGTGTCGGAGGCCATCTCCCTTCTGGCCCTGTGCTGCTGAGCTTTCCTCCAGGCTGGGGCCCCTCTGCCTTTCTCCCACCAGGAACCCGAGCACCAAACCTCCGCAGGGGCTCCCAGGGGTGCAGCTTGGCCTTGGGGTGGGGGTTCTGGGGCTCCTGGTTTCTCCCAGCTGAAGTGAGGGTCTGCTTGGCTTCTCATCCCGGCACCCTGCCTCCCTTCCCTGCCCTCCTCCCTCCTGATGTGCCTCACGCCGGGGTCTGGTGCCCTTTGCCAGAACATTTGAGTGTTTTCAGCCCCAAATCCTTCTCTGTTGGATGGGCATCCTTCTGGCAAGCACCTTTTCCTGCCGGATGGGTCCTGACTATACCACACCCTAAGCACCTTTCTGCAGTGCCAATGGACAGAACCGTGCAGGGAGGTCCCTAAGCAGGTCCGTGCCACGAGACTGAGCGAGAGCCCAGGCACCACGCTGCGAGAAATGGTAAACCTCATCCCTCCCCTCCTGAGGACGGGCACGTGTCCTCGGCAGCTCTCAGGATTTGAAAAGATGCAGTGGAATTTGTGTAAATCCCCCAAACTTCTGCTTCTGCTATGTTGCAGCTGGAGGGTGCGTGGCCACTCAGGGGCAGCTGTTATCAGGTACCTCTTGGAGCCTCTTCCATCAGCTACACAGAAAGTCAGGGTCCCTCATGTCCCTTCTGAATCTTCAGTTGCTTTGTCGAAGCATCACTAGAAAGAGCCATGTGAATGCCCATGCAGAGGGAGCTTTAAGCTATGCTACAGAAATTGAGAGAGATGAGTAGGGTCAATTTTTGTCCCAAAGTTGCTCATCAGAATCCTTCCCTCATATCCACACCATGTGCAATTCCAGGAAACCCCAAAATAGGCAATGCTTTCTGGAGGTGTTTTTTTTCTTCTTTTTTTTTTTTTCTTTTTTTTTTTTTTTTCTGATCCCTTTTTGGGACTGCGTTTGGAATCAGAGGCAGTCTGTCTTCCTGGTAGGAGGTTAATTAGTCTGTGGTATAAATATGTGCATGCCTCATTTTGTGAAAGGTGGTGTTGCATCGTGGTGCAAAACTCGGTGGATCCGTAGGTGTGTTGTTGGCAGTGGGAACCCGTTTGTCGGAGGGGTGTCCGTGCGGTGCAGCCCTCCCTCCTCCCTGCTGAAGCTCTCTGCTTTGCTCCAGGGCGACGCTTCCAAGTCCGACTCGGAGGGCGATCTCTTCCCCCGCAGCCTGGAAGAGGAGGCCGGGCTGAAGAAAAACTTGTCGAACCCAGCCTGTGAGTAACAGCCCCGGGACACCTGTCCCTGCTGCAGAAACCCTGCTCTGCTGTGAAAACCGGGTGTCCTGGATGGGGAGAGCCCTCCTGGGGAGGATGCATTCATCCTGGCGCACAGCAGGCTTGTGCTGCGGGGTTGGAGTGCAAGCTGCAAAGGGAGAGGCAATGGCATTTGGGCACGTGTTGTCAGTGCCAGGCATGAGGTCTGGGTGTTTGGAGCATCCCTGCAGGGGCACAAGTGGAGGAGCCCTTGGGGGGAATCGGGGAAGGAGGAGGATGGAGAGGAGAGATGGAGCCCAACATGGGCAGGGGTCTCCAGGGGAGGAGTTGGCAGGGCTCAGCTGAAGGGTTGAGGGGCAGCAGATAACAGATTTGCTTCCCTTTCTCTTCAGTGCCTGATCCCATTCCCAACTTACCCCTCACTATTTCCCTGCCATGTTAGAGGAAGGCTCTCGGCTCCCCAGATGGCTTTTGGTCCCCGTCCTCCTGAAGCTCAGAGGACAAACACCCCTCATGCAGCTGCTCCGCCTGCCCGAGAGGAGGCTGTGACTGTGCCCCAGGATGAGGGGGGCACCTAAACACCCCTTGTGTCTTCCAGTGATGGCCCTGAGCGACCACCCGGAGCTGAAGAAGAGCCTCACCCCACCGCTCATCATCCACACGGCCGCCACGCCGATGCCCATGCCCAAGAGCGCCGTGTTTGGCGAGGCCGCGCAGGGCCATGAGTCGCGCCGGGCCAGCGGCGTCTCCGTGGACCCTGCTGCCTACGAGCTCAAGTCCCCAGTAAGGACCTGAGCATCCTGTGGGTGCTCCACGGGCATCTCCCAGGCTCACGGGGTTGTTTTGTGTGCTCGAGCCGAGTGGAGACAGCCCGGCACAGGTGGGTGGCACGGTGCTGACATTGTCCCCATCCCTCCCGCAGCCCAGCGCCCGCAGCTCCCCGCACAGCCCCTGGAGTGCTGGCAGCAGCTGGACCAGCCGCCGCTCCAGCTGGAACAGCATCGGCCGGGCGCCCAGCCTCAAACGGCGGGGCCAGAGCGGAGAGCGCAGGTCCCTGCTCTCCGGGGAGGGGAAGGAGAGCTCGGAGGATGGGGAGAGCTCGGACGAGGAGCGCTCCAGCCGGGCCGGCAGCTTCAACGGCTCCTTACCTCATCGCATGGAGTCGCTGGAAACAAAAGGCTCCTTCGACCTCCAGGACACCCTGCAGGTGCCTTCCCTGTACCGGACCAGCAGCATGCACAGCAGTCGCACCTCCGCCTCCGAGCACCAGGACTGCAATGGGAAAACCTCTCCAGGCCTGCTGGTTCACCAGCTCCACCTGGACGACCCCCGGCAGGACTGCGATGATGGTGATGATGAAGGCAACATGGTAAGGAAGTGCCAAGTGCTTACTTTTGGCTTTTTTTTGCTCGACCAAGTGCTATCGGCACCTGTCTCGGGAGCGCGCTGGTGGGTGCAAAGCCATGGCCACTGCAAGAGGTGGGTGTCACCACCAGCCCAGGCTGAGGGGCACCAGCAGAGCACCAGGAGCAATCGGGCCGTGGATGCTGCCAGAAGAAGGGCAGGCGTTATGTTAAGTGTTTCAGTGCCGTATCAGATGGCTCTGGATGGAGATATCAGGTTCCAGGAAAAGGCGTGGATCAAATGCTATCGCAGCAGTACGTGCCCCCATCGTGGCAGTATGTGCCCCCGTCCCTGCAGGAATTTAATATGTGTGGATGTGGCACTAAGGGACACGGTTTAGTGTCCCTTACTGGACTCAGCAGGTCAGGCTGGTGACTGGGCTTGGTGACCTCGAAGGTCTTTTCCAACCTAGATGATTCTAAAATTTTATTCTAAGATCGTATGCTTTTCTGTTCTTATTTTTTTATTATATTCAATAAGTAAATTTCCCTGCTCCCCAGCCATTGTTTGGCTTTCAGCTCCCACACACAGGAGCAGACAATTTCTGTTGACATCAACAGGCAATGCAAGGGCAGGGCTTGGCCCACAAGTCCCACGGAGACATTAGTCCCATAGAGACAGTGGTAATTTCAAAGGCTTTGCATTAATTTCAGTATGAAGAGGCATTAGTCCAATAAGTGTCTCTTTTTCAGCGGCCTGAAAAGTGCCATTTAGGAAACGTTAGCTAAAAGCATGGCAGCGGGAGAAGAGAAATCAGCTGTAATTTTGAGCTGATTAGAGCGCCAGATAGTAGAGAGGCATCTCCAGCTTTGCATATTCTCTGCATCCGCACTTCCAAATCAAGGCACGTAATTTGCCACGTGCTGCTGCTGCCCAAAATCGTGTAAATGCCACCGGGACTGGGGGGTTTCAGAAATTCCAGCAGCAGGAGGGGAAGCGTGGGGCAGCATGGATGGAGGATACCCACAGTCCTGGCCCCGGCGTGTGCATGGGGATGTCCTCATGGCAGGGGCATTTTGGGGTGTTTTCAGCTGTTTTCAGGTTCTCTCATTGCTTCAGCTCACCTCGTTCTTGGGTTTAAAGACGTGCTGGTCTAGTGGGTCATCTGGGGGATTGCTCGGTTTGCGTTGGGTGAAGCTGATGGGTTTTGGGTACAGCAATGAAATGGTAATTGGGGCGGTGCTGAGAACATAAGAGCTGTAGCTTGTGGGCATGATTTTACTATATTTCACTGAGTTTGTTGAATGAAAATGGGATTTGGAGCATGTGAAGGGATGCAAAAGGCCGTGGTGACTCCAGAGAGTGAACAGGAGAAGAAAGAGAGTTTGTGCTGGCAGAATGGAGTCACTCAGCCGTAAATCGCCTTTAAAACAAGCCATTATCCCATTACATCTCCAGCATGGATCCTCAGCCTGGGATTTTTACTGATTGTCTTAACCTGGTTTTTAACCTCCATAAAATAAATTGAATTTTTAAGAATAGGAGAGGTAATTATTTTTTGAAAAAGCACGACTGGAAGTGATCAGGAGACCGTGCTCTTTATAGCCAGCTAGGGATGGTTTTTATGTCCAACGTGTGCTGCTTTTTCCAGCTCACCTGGTGCAAAGATCCTGCAGGTGCCTTCCTTCCCCCCAGCAGCTGCCCTTGCATTGGACACCTTGTGATGGGACACGTCCCTCCTGTCCCCCTCCCATCCCACCCATCCCCGCAGCTCCAGCCAGCGCTGACAAGCTGTTGAATAAGATGCGTGGCTTTAATTTTTTATTATGGCCACGGTGGCTGCTTTTAGGGGAAATTAAATGTCTTCTTTCTGCGTGCTGAGGTCTGGCCACGCAGGGTTAGACCAAAGGTCCCTGCCCTTTCCATGGAGCTCTCAGAAGCAAATGCCTAGGGAAAGAATAGACAAAACGGGGTAAATAAAGCGTGCCCCTGCCCGTGGTGCTTCCACACTCGGCAGCTGGGACATCCTCAGCTGGCGGCTGCCTTTCCCCGTGCTCCGAAATATGCACTTACTGCAAATTGCTAAACCAGACGGATCGGAAAATATTGCTTAGATTAGTGAAATGAGTCCCCAGGTTGCGGAGCTTCCCTTTGTGATTGCCTCCCGACGTTCTGGGGGTTTCTTTGCCCCTGTGTGAGCTTTGACAAAGTCAGAAAAAAATGTCATTATTTTTTAAAAGAAAAAAAAATAATATTCAAAACTCCCCTACCACCAGAAGAAGAAAAGAACTCAACTGTTACTCAGATCAAAGCAATCCTAAATATGCCCTTCTGCAACAAAGCTTAACAAGCTCTCCTTGCTGGATGGTTTTGATTGCCTCTGCACAGAAATAAAAGGCGGTGCAAAGGCTTCGTTTGGATCTCTCAGCCTCCCATTATATTAGTGCAGCCCCACTGCCTTCAGAGAGTTGATTCTGAATTTACATTGCTCAGAGGGGCCTGAATCGGGCCCCTGATCTCCCTTCTCCCCAGAAGTACAAAATTAGGGAGGAAAAATCTCTTCTTCGGGGTGTGGATGTAGACAAGGAGCTTCACCGACCTGGCGATCTGCTGCCTGCTTGGGTTTGTGTGGCTGTACCTGAGGTTGGGGATCTGCTGGGGGACCTTTGCTGGCCAGATCTCTGATCCGGGCTGTGTTACAGGTCGCTGCACATGCCAGCTGTAAAATTTCTGTGTGTGCAGAGAGAAGAAAAACTCAAACGCCGAGTGCTCGGAGTGGAAAGCGAGGACAGAGCCAAGTGTCCCCTACTCCCAGGGGCAAAATCCCTATTGCATGTTGCAATCACAGCTCGGATTCACTCCAGCTTTTGCATTTTTTCCTGTGATGTGCAGTCCAGCTGTTCACCCAAACCATCCTAGCCTGCCCCTACTGCATATTTAAAATCAAATAATCAGGTCCCGAGTGCCTCCGTGCAGCTTCAAGCTTGCCTGGAGGTCTGTTGCTGCTCATAGTGCGTTTTTCAACGGTTCCCCCCCATCCTTATAATAAATCTTTTATAAATCTAACCCTTTCCCTGACTCGGAGGAGTGCATCAGTCATCTTTTAATGCCAGCTGCCTTTCACCCTGCCCTCAGAAGTACATTAATATCTGGAAGTCCTAAAAAAAAAGAAGCTATTTAGCAGCAGCTCTCCTTCGCACAGGCTGGGGGGGGCTGTTTGAAGGTGTGGGGTGAAGGCAACATCACAGCCCATCAACGAGCATCACTGCCCCCGGCCCCGTGTGCCCCCGCATCCGGCCCCGTGTTGGTGGGGGGGCTGCTGCTGTGAGCGGCTGGGTTTTGGTGAAGCCACCAGCACCCAAATTAAGGAGTAGTTTTCTTCTTTCCTCCCCCCCCCCATCCCAGTCTTTATTCATCCTGCCCAGGTGTGTTTTATGAACAAATAGATGTGATTTAAACAACATAATTGATATATTGCTTCGAACATAATGCGGGCTTAAGCAGCAATCAGGCTGATTGTGCGCGGCTGATGTGTGTCTGGACCTTGCAGAGAAAGCGTTTGATGGGACTTGGGCTGGAAGAGCTCGCTTTTTATTTCGCAAATATCTTACATTTGGCTCAAATTACCCAACTGGGCTGTTTCACTAGTGGAAATCTGGAGTAATTCCTTTGACTTTAGATTTATGCGGATGTACCGGAGGACAGCACTCAGCCCTGGACAAAGCAGCCAAGCTGCAGCCACGGCTGCCCTCGCGTTGACACACTGAATAGGGACGCGATGGAAGATCGCTTTCTGCCTTTGTTATCTGATTTAGCCCATGAACTCGGAGCTGCAACAATTAGACAAACCCCAAAATATCTTTGGCATTAAAATTGGACAAAAGGAATATAAAGAAGCATTCTGTGCTGCTGACGCATTACCATTCACTACAAATCCCCATGATAAATACCAGAACTGCTTTGAATAATAGATACTTCTGGAAACCTTCCAGCTCGCAAAATGAACTGGACCGAGCTGCAGCTATTACTCCACGTCCAGAGGCTGGGGTAGCAATCACTGCTTTTGCTGCAACTTTGAACAGACACACGATTTTATCCTTTTATTTTTTTTTTTCTACCTTTGTTAACTCTTGGATAATTTAACAGTCTAGGCTGCTAGGAGGGATAACACATCCCCAGGATGCATGCTCTATTAAATACAGCTTAGAGTGAAGGGAGCACTTCTGATTCCTTGCCTGGAGTTGGAAAAGGAATGTGAAAACAGCCAAGATGTGGCCAAAACCTACTGGTGTGCCATGGCCTGGGGCGTGTGTGCGTAGAAGGGGAGGGAAGGATGGACAACCAAAGGAGAGGGGCAGAAAAACCCAGCTTTTTTGTTATGCAGGCTTCTCTTGTAATTTTCACAAGGTTGTTTTCATTTTTTGAAGGGTTCAGGTTATCACCAAGTGCTTTCATTAAGATGGGCACTACACTAGCTATTACCCATCGCTAATGAGACCCCTGGCTGAGTACATGTAGGAGCAGAAAGCATTTCCTCCATTCCACTCAATTACCCTAACAAATCCCATTTTTACAGTCCAGAGTACCTCAAATTGCTAACAGTTTGGCTCAAAATGAGCACAGAATCCCCCCTTCCCCGTTCTGAAGATGAAATGCGTACAAGTGCCTGAGCCCTGCGGTTCACCCTGCTCCTTGGGCACCAGCGGCAGTTCCTGCTCTGTGCTTCGCGGCGCCGTTCCCAAACACCTGCAAAATAATCTTCCAGGAGCCCTGCAGCCGCGTTCCCACACCTGTGCAGATTCAGGCCCACGTGGCAGTGAGGAAATAAGGGTAATGAGTGAGTGAGAATTCATTTTTATTTGTCTGCCAACGCGAAGCACTGCGGTGACGTTGCCCACACTGGTCTGCGGGTTTGTCTCCCGGTGCTTCGATTGGAAAGGGCTGAGGAAGCCCTGGTGTGATGGGTGAGGAGTTTGGCTGGGGAACCGGGTGCTGGGTGGCTTCTGCTGGTGGTGCCTGAGTTCACAGCACTGTCAGGATAATTTTCTTAAAAATCCTGGCCTCCCTTTGGAGATCTGTGGCTGAGAATTCAAGGAGACCTAATCGAGAGGCTGTCACAGCTGGGACAAGGCTTCTTCCCCTTGGCACTGAGATTTTTGTGTCTTTACTTGACCTGCTGGCCACAGCACTACAATCTGCCCTCCTGGCCTTAAATAACCTGGTAGTCTAACACATACGTGTGCATGGCTGAGGATGTGCTGTGGTTTCAAGTAGGAATTAATTCGGGGGAGTTGGAAGGCCCGTGCTCATCCAGGAGGTCAGGCTGGCCACGATGTTCCCTTCTGGCTTCATAATCTGCTGTCTAATCTGTTCATGCCGAATGAGAGGCAGATGCTTGCCATCATGTTCCTGGACTGAAACGCAGGTCCCAAATGGCTTCTTTGGCTTTCCAGTGGTGCACAGCCACAGGGCTTGACCCAGCAAGCAGCAGGAATCCCTCCCTCTGTTGCTGTTATAGCTTTTGACATAGGCATTATACATAATTTAAAAAACAAACAAACAAAAAACAACTCAGAAGATTCAGGTAAGCGTCTGTCAAGAATCTGGAGGGTCTGTGGCTGATCTGAGCAGGTTATTTCTCCTCTGGGACAGAAGATTAACTTACCAAGTCCATCCTGTTGGCTAGCCGTGTGCTGGAGGAAGGTACCATGAGCAAGGTGAGGCCCCATGAGCTCTCAGCACCAGCACAGCCCTCACCCGGCCTCTGGAGCTCCATCCCCTGAAGGTCTTTTGGGGAAAGATCATTTTCCTTTGGCTTTACTGAGTACCTGGGGATATTTGTTTAGTGAAAAATGGCCCGGAATCCTTTGCTTGGGAGCTTTGGGGGTTTTAACTGTTCTCTCTGCTTTTCCCTCCTGTTCCGTCTCTGCTGTAAATTTTCCTCGTAGAGCAAAAGGGACCGTGTGAAGGCTTGGATCCGGGCACGTCTTCCTGCCTGCTGCAGAGAGAGAGACTCCTGGTCCATCTACATCTTTGCTCCTCACTCAAGGTAAGGCTGCTGACATAGCAGCAGGATGCCTGGCGTGGGTGTCCCCGCTGCGATGGCTCACCACCCGTGTCCCCTCGGCGGTCCCTACACCACAGGGTGCTCTGGGGCAGGCACAGCCCTGGCATGGGCGAGTTTGGTGGTGGTCTGCAGCCTGGGCATGGCAAGGGCTTTGTCACTGATGCCAGCGCTCTGTACGTTTTTTATTCAGTGGAGCAAAGAGACTTGGAAATGAGGGGGAAAGGATCTGCATTAAGCAGAAAAATCTAGTTTTGCACCTGGTGCACATGTACAACACAGCAAAGCGCCCTCCTTCACCTGCTAAACCTCCCCTCAGCCCCGACTTTTGTCCTCCCCCTCCCTTCCTCCCTCTCCCACCAGCCCCATAAATCTGCCCTCTCCTTACCCCAGTGCTGCCCTTCCCAAAGCCCGGCCATGGGACAATTGGGCTCCAGGCTCTCGTTCTTCCTCTGGACATTAACCCACGCTTAACGAGGGTTTCCCACCTTTGAGCTGGTGGGCCCTGGACAGCATTCGAGTTCATTCATAGCAAGATTAGAGAGATTTTCAGAAACAGACTTAGGGGAATGTAATACGGCATTATAAATCCCGGGTCAGTGTACAGCCATCTGTCACAATAAATAGCTTCTGTCTCTTTGTTCTGTGTTCACTCAACCCCTACACGCTTGCTGGAGGTATTTCTTCCTTTATTTAAGTTAAACCTGAACTCTGCGGACCAGGCAGGGGCCAGATCCACACCTGGCTGCCTGTCCAAGCTGGGGAAGCAGCTGCTCCACTCCGAGTGGAGCAGATTCCTCTCTGGCTTTAACCGGGGCTTGAAGTTTGTGGCCCAAATTTGGCATCGAACTTTGTAGCTCGGGTCCTTTTTTATTCCTACCCAGATCTGCCTGCAGCATGGGGCTCTGCCAGGGAGGGGGTTGCAAGACTGTGGCTCATCTGCTGTGCAAACAGGGTGCTCGATTCCCCGGCCGTGCTTCGGCTGCTGCGCAGGCGGGAGCGTGTTCGTCCCCAACCAGCCGAGCATTAACAGCTAGTCTGTGTGTTGTCTTTTTTTTTTTCCCTCTTCCTTGGCAGATTCCGTCTGATGTGCAATAAAATCATCACGCACAAGATGTTTGATCATATCGTCCTGGTGATCATCTTCCTCAACTGCATTACCATTGCCATGGAACGACCCAAAATCGAGCCTCACAGCGCTGTGAGTTTGAGGTTAATGTTTTCAGTGCTCCAGGCTGGCGTGTTCCTCGTGCAGCCAGCTCATGTGGCTTGCACCCCACCGCCGTGCATTTGGGCTCTCTCTTTTCCTTTTTTAAATGGGAAGCTGCCAGCATATGTGTTGAATTAAGTACAGTGTTTACCGGGGTAATGCTGTCCCAGGAAAGGCTTTTCACCATCCCCTGCTCCGTGCGCAGGGGCTGCTGCTCCCAGCTCTCTTGGTCCCTCTCCAGAGTCCGTTCAAAGAACGAGAGCAGAGCTCATGGTCTGCCACATACCGAGGCTCCCCTAATAATAGCCCATTTCTGCAAGTCTGATCGAGGTCTGAATTCGTGGCATAAGCATGGCATCTGTCTCGGTTTCCTTCTCTGATCAACCTTCAAACACTTTTCCTCTCTCAGCACAATATTCGTTTCATCCATCTGTTGTTCACGGGCACGTATGTATGGTGCGAAGCGAATGGGGGAAACTGTTCATTTCATACTTTTCTCTCCCTTTTGTCTGTGATCTTTGTTGTGACACAAGCAAAACCGAATTGATATGTGCACCGTAATTCCATTTCCCTGAACCATTTTGCTTTAATTGACTGTGTAATGATTTTGCAAACCAGACCCTCACAGCACCACCTTCCATCAATCAGGGGGGTAGGATCATCCGGTTGCTCTTTTATTTTAGCATAGGTTGCGGCTGAGATATATGCTGAGCTCTTGCTGATGTATTGCAAAAGACTGCTCATATCGCAATCGTATAGAATCCTGTTTTGTTGTCGTAGGCGTGTCAGGCTGTTCATTTTCATGGATCTTCAATGTTAGACCTTAAAACTGGAGTCGTGGCTGCTCTCTGCCTATTTTAAGCTTTCCCTAGTAGTCCTCCTTACTGAATTAGTTTGCCCGGAGGTTCTTCCCCTAAATCCACTTTTTTTTTTTTTTTCCTCTTTTGATTATTGTGCAGCCATGGAGCACCAACTCACAGCTGTGAGACAAGAGCAGGACTCCCTGCCAGCCAATCTAGCAGGAGGAAATCACCCTGCTGTTCCCCAAATGGGACACCCTTGAGATCCTAAATGCTTCCTTGGAGCCCCTTGCTGTGTCCTTTGAGAGCCACCATTCACCAGGGCTGGCTCTGAAAGGAACAGAACCTGCATGGAGATGAAGGGAGCGGTGTGACATGCAGTCAGAGGAGCCCATGGCATGGAGCACAAAACAGCACTTGCTGCCTGTATAAGAGAGGGAGGACGAGCTGTGGTGTCCCCAGGCACTGGCGGAGTGCAGAGAGGAAAGGGGACAGGGACCAGTGTGAGGCTCCTCAGCATCAGGTTGTAGCCAAGGGACCCGAACTGGGTCACCTGGGGCAGGAGCTGAGCTGAGCCGTGGTCTGGGAGCAGCAGAGAGGAGCAGGGGGATGCTGATGCTGAGCAGAGGCAGCCAGGAGGAGTGCCCAGCCCCTGCCCGCACTGATGGAGCTTTCATCTGGAAATGGAGAGAGTTAGTTTAGCTTGAGTTGTTTAAAATAATTGTACTTGGCTTCCCCGAGCTGTGGATTTTCTAGCTTGCTCAAGCGAGTTCTCTTTCCCTGCCCCAGTTTCAGCTGGCTTATCGGAACAGGGGATGCTGTTGCTAGCCAACACGCGCTCCCCATTTCAGAGAGCGCGACATGGGCCGTGGAGATTATCCTTCAAAATAGCCCCACGCTTGCCAGAGAGGAATGTAATATCCTCAGTCTCCTCCATGCTATTGCTGTTTTATCTCCAGCACCACAAGCAGGTCCCTACCCTCTTCCTCCCTCACACCGCCTCGCCCTCGCAGCCGTCTTTTGTGTGGCAGTCAGCGGGCGGCCGGAGATGTTCCCTATCACAGCTCCTGCAATCACAGTGCAGGCCTAGCACCTAATTAATTATGGGCCCAGGATGGAAACAAGCTACTCTGTGGTTCCTGAGTCACTTTCAGTAAATCATGATCTGGCAAGCGAGAGAGTTGCCAAGGTGTTTTGTCTTGTTTAAATTGCATCTCATTTTGAGTGAGAGATCTGCATCTCTTACAGGACTGCTCTGTAGAGAGCAGCAGAAATAAATCCAAAATTGTCATTAGCAGAACCAGGGCCAGTTCAATTGTACACACACGTGTATACATGCGCACTCCCCACCTTTCCTCCAGCTTCCACTGTCTGCCATCCATTTCTCAGCACAGGCAGTCAGAGATTGCTTAGGGATTAGGGAAAAGTGTAATTTATTTAATGGTCATCATTAAAAAAGAAAGGTTTCTGCTAACTACAGATAGGGAACCGGTCCATGGCCTCATCTGTAATCGCTAGCTGCTGTTTCAGAACAGTGGCAGTGAGGACTGCATGGTCTGGTGGATAGCACAGGGGATGGAGAGATGAGACCGCCGGGCTTCGTGCCCAGGTCTTGCCTGTGGCTTTGGGCGAGTGATTCACCCTTCTGGGGACAGGTCTCAGCTGGCACCAACCCCTGGAGCTTCTCGGCTTCGGTGGAGCAGTGACAGCTCATGCCAGCTGTGCTCTGGCCTCCCGTGGGTCCCGCTCGCCCGGCAGCACAGCCGCTCCAATATTGACTTAATTTACTGGGGAATTGGGAGCTCGGTGATATTTGCGCTGCACGGCGGCAGCCGCAGGTGAGGGGCAGGGAGAGATGTGCCAAGGGTGTGAGATGGCTGGGTGTCTGCTGGGGGACATCCAGAGGCCTGAGGGGCAGCCAGAGGCCTAGGGGATGGACAGCCGGGGGCCTGGGGGACAGCGGGCGGCCTGGGGGCTGCCGTGGTGCTGGTGGAGGGGCCGGTGCTGCGCCGCTGCCCCTCTCCATGGTGCTGACACAGCCTGGCCGCCCGCAGCGAGGTTGTCTAAATATTTGGATTTCCCCGCTCCGCGAGCAAACAGGCCGAGGCCTGGTTCAGCACAGAAGCTGCAGAGCAGTCAGCAGCCGCACAAATGTGCGCAGGGAGGCGTAGAGCTGCGGAAAGCGAGACGTAAAATGTTGTCCCTTGTTTTTCTTTCTTTTTTTTTTTTTATAGGAACGGATTTTCCTAACGCTCTCTAACTACATCTTCACGGTTATCTTCCTGACTGAGATGACAGTTAAGGTAAATGAAGCTGGAGGATGTGTGTCTGTGTTATATCAGTGATATTTTATTACATTGGGCTTGCAAAACTTCCAGGTCTACCAGTGATGAGCGAGGTGAATATTTTCCCCTTCTGAATCATATTCAAATACCCACCACACGCCTTATTCTGAGCACGTTTTACATCAGAACAATTTCACTGAAGTTGCTCTTGATTTACACCATTATATGAGCAATGGGATGCTTCAATTCAGCAATCCTTCCCTATTCAGCAAAGCTCTTGAGCACATGCTTAACTTCAGCCATGCATGGAAGTCCCATTGTCTTCAACAGCCCATTGTCCTCAACAACCTAAGCAGCTATGTGCTTTCCTGAGGAGGAAGATACTTAAGCACATTGAAATTCTTTGCTGGGTTTGAGGCAGGAGGCTCAGAAACCCACTGCTGTAAATCTCTCTTGTGTAATTCATAATGATCTCACAGAACAATTGCTCTCTCTATGGAAAGTTTCTCTAGTTTCTGTATTTGCAAAGCTTGTAACTGATTGCTGTGGGTCAGCCGCTCTGAACCTTTACTCCAGGAGTCTATAGAAATAAAACACAATCAAACTTTTTATGCCAGATCTAAACATGTTAGAAACACTTCTGTGCAGCTAGGCTTAGTTGCATTTAAAATACATCAGCTGCCAGGGACAATCTGGGATGTATCTGCAGAGTTATTTTACAGTCCTTGCAATATACCACTTTGCTGATTTGTCTCATTAGGCTTCTATACTGGGAAGCAAATGGACTCACAGACTTGTATCTGTAAATAATGCACTCTCAGCAGGCTGCTAACTGGAGAAAACATATTGGATGCAATAGTCCTAATTTGTTGCAACTTGTTGTCCGGGCAGGTGGTGGCACTAGGCTTGTGTTTTGGGGAGAAAGCCTACTTGAAAAGCAGCTGGAACGTGCTGGATGGGGTGCTGGTTCTCATCTCGGTCATCGACATCCTGGTCTCGATGGTGTCCGACAGCGGCACGAAGATCCTGGGGATGCTGAGGGTTCTGAGACTGCTGAGGACGTTGCGGCCCTTAAGGTAAGCAGAGGATGGGGAAGACCGAAAAGTGCGTGCCCAAGGGGTTGCTGAGCCACTGCTGCAAAGCAGCAGCACTCGTGCAAGGGAAGGGGCAGGCGAGACAAGGGCACGGCGTGTTGTGCCCAGCCTCCTGCTGCTCCCCAGACAATGAGTGGCCGTGGGTCCCGCCGAGCCGCAAGGGGCTCCGGGCACTCGGGCACTCGCTGAGTTTTGGGACCAGCCCCAAGTGCAGTAGTAAACTGATCAATGCCTCTCTTGCTCATTAAAACACACATCCCCTGCTATTTGTGTTCTCATTTGCTCTGTGTAAAGTGCAGCTTAACAGCTTCTTCTCCCCCTTTCCTTCAGGCAGTCAATGGCTTTCGTAACAAAGAAGGAAATTAGTAGCAGGTGGCAGATCATTTTTAAGGAAGCAGAGACTAAACTGTTGCTTAACCTAGAATGCAAAGAAGCCTTTTCCCCTCCGTTCCCCATTAATTTTAAGGAGATACTTGTTTTATATATTGCCCCGACAAGCTGCAAGCAGTTGTCCTTCTGACTCGCTCCCCCAGCGCTGGCAGCAGGCACTATCCCATGCCTTGGGGCAGGCGCCCCTTGGGCAAGAACCTGCCCCAGGAGCAGCACCGTTTGGTCCCATACTCCAAGGCAAGAAGGTTTCCCATGCTAAATGCAGTCCCTCTTTAATGCCATTGTTGCTGCTCTTGTTATGCAGCAGCTAATAAACCTTCCTGCTCAAAGCATCTTTGTGTGCCTGTCATATCGTACTGCTGCTTCCTTCATAAAAGGTTCTCTTTGAGTCAGGATTTTCTCTTTCAGGACAACAACAACAACAAAAAAAGGACTCTGCTTCTGACAGAGGATGTTGTTTTACTACCCTTGTGTGAATAATAAGTCTAAATAACAATAGCCATGACCATACATTATGTATCTTTCAAATATTCTTAACAGCTTTGAAAGAGTGTCTGTTAAATTGGGCAATGTGTATGTTGTGCTTGGAGAGTTTTAGGACATGAGCTGCTTTAATCATTTTTATCTGGACAGATCTCCTGTTGGTGTGGTTCATCTCTCTGGCCACACGACTAGGCTGTCTTCCTATGTGACTCCAGTTCAGAATTTCTTCTCTTCAGGTGTCCCCCAGCATCTCCATGTCAACTGTTGTTTCTGGGGGGAGTTTCTGCCATATTTCTGGTTTGCTGGATCTGTTCTGCTCTTCTGTTTAGACTGATTTTTGACTCACATTAAGAAAACTTGCAAAATAATCAGGCTATCTCAGAATAAAACAAGGATCGTTTTCCTGTCTCTGAGCTGCAGAATGCAAGTTCCTCTCTGGAGGTGGTGTGGTTAAATCAGATCTAGAGGGAGATGTTTGTGCTGTGCTGAGCCCTGCTAGGGTCGCTGTCTGACCCTACCGCCTGTGTGCTGCCTTGCCAGGACTCGAGGCTTCATTTGCTGGTCTTTCCCTGCAGTCACCTATGTGCATGAGTAGTCTGCAGTTATGGGGAATAAACCGTGGAGTAGCTGCAGGGCGGAGGAAGACCTGCCATCTGGAGCATGTGCAGGATTAGGTCCTTCCATTGCTATTCCATTCCTGTTGGCATTCAATATGATTTCTCAAGAGTGTCTGAATGTTTTCAGCCAACACACTGCTTTATACTACAAAGGAAATGCAAAAAGACAGCAACAAGCCCATTCCCTAAATATGTTCACAATCAGTTCTATTCCCCTGTAATTAGATTTGTAGGAAATGAAAAAGCAGCCATCAAACCGGGGACTTTTCACTAAGTCGTAAATCTCCGCCTGTGGAAACCCATCTGCCTCGGCGATGTGCATCCGGGCTGTCCCGCTCCGCCGCAGGTCTCCGTGTCCCTGCCATGATCCCAGGCTGGATCGGTGCAGGACGGCAGCAGGATTGTGCATGCCGTGGCCCTAGTCCCCATATCAAGGTCAAGTCACTGGTTTTCCTTTCCAAGCAGCATCTCGTGCCCACCACTGGGGGATGGAGCTGGCCGCCCGCTGCCCTCCCATCCTGCAGGCACCTGGGGATGGTGATGCAGGGAGGGCACTGTCAGTGAGCAGCCACAGCTCTCACCCCGGTCTTGAGGGCAGGGACAGCCCTCATTGCCTCTACGTTGGTTTTTCTGGTTGATAACTGGAAGGGGTTCTTCTTGCAGAAAGACCTCCCTTGTTCTGTCGCTTGTTTTTTTCCCGTGCAAACAACCCTGCTGCTTTATGCAGCACACGGAGCCACACATGCTTGTGCCATTTGCACAGGCATAAAAAAGCTCTGGCCTGCGTGCCAATCACTGGCTTTTGATTGCATGATTGATTATCAGCCTCCAAATTGAATCCATGAGCATTCAAGCCCAGCTTTATGACCAAAATTCCAAAAATATATTCACAAAGGAGTGACATTTAAAGATGTTTCCATGACCCTCTGATGTTTCAGCCAGTAGAGGGATTGCTTATACAATAACATTCCTTCCTAATGCGTTCAACCTGCTCTTGTTGGGATCAAGTGTTGTAGCTTAAGATACAAGAGAAATCAAGATTGAAAATGTATTCAGAATTAATTTGGTTGGACTTCAGTGCTGTTTTACTCTCTGCAGCGCCTGGGCTTTGCCTTTCAAAACAGATGGATAAATTATTCACTCTTCATACCATTGCGGTATGAAACAGTCATTTCATAGACTCACTTCTCCCTGTCATATTATCACCTTTTGCTTTTTTTTTTTTTTTTTAATCTGTGGAGGAAGGCCTTCATTAATGTTGATCTGCTACTTCATCTAAGTGCTCCTTCTTCATCTGAGTGCTCTAATCAGACCAGCAGGCTTAACGTTAGGAAATGTGATCCAGCTGGGGTGAGGCTGGCAGTGGTTTTGGAGTGTCTCACACAAGGGGTTTGACAGCATTGTGAACGCTGAGACCAGCAGAACCAGGAGGAGCTCGAGGGATTAGCATTTCTTCACAACGAACAAAAAAAAACGGTCTAACTTCAATTTCCCTATTTGTCATACGCTTAATGCAGATGGGAATTGCCCTGAATGCAACATCAGCGAGTCTCCGGCTCTGGCACGTCCGGAGGGCTCCAAATCAGCTGGATCCTTCAGCAACAAATTGCAGGAGTGGCGGATCAGACAGGATGAGTCTGCAAGCCTGATATCAGCAGGATCTCGGGCAATATTGATGAGGCACAGGGATGCTGTCTGTTGACATATTGGAGCTGACACTAATAATCTGGAAATGCTGAGGATTTCATTGGCACTTCTGAGAGAGTTATCAGACTCTCAAGAGAGACAGCAGGAGACTTTGCACGGACTTGCCTCGACATTGGATCAGGCCCTTAGTTTGAGGCAGCTCCAAGGTCTGAAGGTTTTCATTAGTAAGAACTATCATTTTTCAAAAATCTTTTCAAAGTCTTCTCTCTCCGTAGGGCTGGAAACAGCATTGGCATGGAGCTAGACTGGTGGCAGCTTTTACCCTCATGCATTCTCATTTGAGGAATTCCCTGGTTGATCAAATCTCTGAAAGCAGCCAAATGCTGCAGTTCTTCAGCCCTTTTTTCTCAATACACGCAACTTTGCTAAGTCAGATGAGAAACCTCCTATTTTCTATCTCTGTTGGATACCAAATAGTATACCACAGGGGAAATCACTTTATTATTTCTAGGATAGGTTTCGTTAATAACCGTTGGAGAAAATTATCAGCTTTAGATTCTGGAGGCTAAATTTCTTCCTTGCTCCCCCAAATTTAAGGATGCTCCAGTAGCTAGACCACAGGCCTTCAATTTACAAAGCCTGACTTCCGTTCCATCTTGCATAACTGCGGGCAAAATACCTAAGCCAAGATCCCGGTATGCCTAATTTCTACTGAAATCATTGGACATGAAGTGCCCGCAGAACTCTGGGAGCATATCCATGATCCTCCCGTGCCTCAGTTTCCCATCTGTCGTTTGGCAGTTGTAATATATCACCAAGGATAGTGCAAGGGTAATCTGTGAAGGACCATCTGAGGATCCCAAAGTTTGGGATTCAAGCTCAGACTGCCTGGCCCTGTATGCTGACGTGGACTGAGAGGAGTCCTTGCCCTGCAGACATTGCCTGCTGGGCTGGATGAGCCACCCCATTGAATCAGGCACAGCTCTCAGCCTCGGTGCAGGTATGACATGACAGCAGCAGCGTAATTGCCCCAGCCTGGAGCAGTTCTTGTAGACAGCATTGGCAGCCCACACCAACTGGTCTCTGCACTGCCACGGCTGCATGGGCTCCACGCCATCCCCTGGAGCACCTCAGCCTCGAGCTGCTTCTCTCTCTGAGCCTTTTATAAGCCCTTCTCCCGCAGCTCAATTCCTAAAATACCCCCGGTCTGAGCATCAGGAAAGCTGAGGTGTCCGAAATAAGGAGCCACACCAGCTACCTGGAAGAGACACCCAGCGTGAGTAATAGAAGCATCTGCCTTTTGTGTTTCACTGGTAAGGGAGTGGATAAAAATATCACCATCTGTTTCTTTTTTAAGAGGATAATTGATGATTTACCCTTGACATTTTGAGTAAATATTTAACCAGAAAAAAGGGAAATAATTTTTAGGTTTTCAGGATACTGTTTAAAGCCAAGAGGCTTTGAAAGAACCGGTGCCTGTGCGCTGAGCGCCGCAGTTTGCTCGAGCTGTGGGCTCTGGGGCAGGAGAGGGCTCGTGCAGGCTTGGCTGTGGTCCCAGCCCGGGTCAGGCAAGCACACGCTCAGGCCATGCATGTCGGGCATGTGGACGTGTCCATGGGGACCTCTGCTGGGAGCACCAGAGACCAGAAAGGGGGAGAGAGGAGAAGAAATTGGATTTTCTCCAGACAACAGAACTCCAAGCTGTGCTTCAGGCGGGGCAGCTGGGTTTGGGGCCAAACGGCAGAGGCGGTGAGAAGACTTGATGGCAAAAGAGAGAACCAGGCAGAAACAAGAAGGTGGGGAAGTTTGTGGCACTTTTGAGTGCCAAGTGTTCAGAGGAGCCACCAGCCTGTACCCAGGAGCACACAGGCGCTTCCCCCCATCAGGCTGACGCAGCAGACAGCTATTTCTGCTCCGGGAGAGCACAGCTTCTGTGGCATCAGTACAAGCTGATTTACAGAGCTAGTGAAATGCTTAACTCCAGTTGGCATCAAGAGGGGGGAGGTGTGCAACCTCTTCAGATGGCTTTGTCAGTCCCCCAGCTCTCCACCTTCATGTCTGTGATCCTGAATACCGTGTTCATCCTGCCCAGCATGGGGAGATGGCTTCTCTAACGCTCACAAGCTTTGCCCTTTCATCATAATATTGTCTTTGAGAGTATAGTACAGTTTCTCCTCTTTTATACGTATATTCTAACAAGCTTCTCTGGTGATGTGCTCATTATTCTCCCCCAACCTTTCCATATAAGCTAATCCTCTGTTAGGAGATTCTGTGCAGTACCAGTCAGAGAGGAACTACAAAAATGAGGTGAGATTCCTGCAGTCCCGCTGGTGAAGTTCCACCTGGATGACAGCACTGGTTCTGTAGCTGGGGTTGTACAGCAGGTATAAAGCTGAGGCTGGTGGAACCAAGGGGCAGCTCAGGTCTCTACGTAGCAGCACTGTGGGTGCACACACAGACACCTGCTTCACTTCTCCAGGCTGAAACAGGGAAATCAAGAGCCTTGCCTAAAACCACACAGGAGTGCACTCTGGGAGGACTCTGCAGTCCTGGACGTGCTACAGACATAAAGGGGTGTGCTTGTGGATGAACTGAAACAAGAGGCAGCTTCCCAGGGAAGCTGTGATCAAGTCTGGAAACTAGAGAGCTCTTTGGGCCAATTAATAGGAACAGGAAAATGCCAAGCCTTAAATACGGTGTAATGAGTGGCAACTAGAAGAAGTTGATCAGGAGATGGATCAAGGATAGACAGCAGGTTAGATAAAAATCATCATTCTGAGTTTAAACAACGTGGGGCTAGCCTATACATCTTCCTTTCCTCAACTGACCTTCCTGGTCTGTCTCTTCTCTCGTGGCTGCTTTACCTCTCTTCTTTCATGCAAGGTTGTATGATAGGCAGAGAGCCCTTTCCCTCAAACACTCAACAATCTCACAGGTTCTCTCATCATGTTTTTTTTGAGTTATTTGCCATTCTTAAGAAATCTCTAATGCTGTCTTTTCCACAGGTCTTCTGTTCTGGGGGGAGGCAGAACTGGGTGGATCAGGACTAACATTTTGTGCTTACTTGCCCTCGCAGAGTCATTAGTCGAGCCCAAGGACTGAAGCTGGTGGTGGAGACTCTCATGTCATCCCTAAAGCCCATTGGGAACATCGTGGTCATCTGCTGCGCCTTTTTCATTATCTTTGGGATCCTGGGAGTTCAGGTGAGTCCCTTGTATGCCTCGGCACCAAGACAGAAAGTGTAGCAGGCCACAAGTGGCCCCACAGCTTGGTATCAGTAGCAGCACGTGCCCTTTCTGAAGCCAAACCCATGGGGCTGTTCTGTCTTTGTGGGGAATTCTTCCTTCCAGCGAGGAGGAGGCACATTTCCCATTACTGGTCACCCATTAAAAACTCTCTGATTACAGCCTATGTGTGTCACTAGCTGTAGCTGAAGTAGCAGCGGTTACAGCCAGTTATTGAGGTTGGCTTTGCCTCTTCCTGGCTTTGTCAAGGTCTTGCAGCCGGCTCTAGAAACGTGTGCTGGTTTTGAATGCCTCACTCTGCTGCAGCTAACAGCCCCGAATGACTCAGACCCAAGGGCTTTTGCAGCTCTCGGTCCACACCTCAGCAGGACCGCGTGGCCTTTCCAGTGCTCTCAAAACACGATTATTCCTGACTTTCCAGTCTTGGCTGTGTGTCACTTGATGTGTTGAACTTTCTTGAAGCTTCCCTATTGCATGCAGTGGTACAAAAGCTGATGTGATGACCCCCTTGGAGGCACAGAATGGGCTTTCTTCATCCTTTCCCCACCACAAGGACTTTTGCTCTGCCTCCAGCAGGACATAAATCAAGCTATTTCGCCACTTTCTTCCCCTGGCCACACCACAGAAAGGTCAGGCTCGAGGCACCACATGTACTGCCAGAAAAACTCTGCTCGGGAAACTGTTAAATCCCATTCCTGTTCAGTCTGTGAGATAACGTGGGGACATCTCCCCTCCACCTTTCTTCTAGGTTTAAAGCAATAGGGAAATTGAAACTCTCAAGGATGAAATCTTAAGTTTGTAAACTCCAGAGAGACCTTGACCTGGAGATTCATTCAGGTTCTGACAGTTTGTATAACTGAAAGCTTGCAGAAATAGAAATTTCTGAGTCTGCTTCCTGCTGGCACTGCTAGCAATATCCTCAGTCCCAGGAGTGCAGGAACCCAGGGGAAAAAGTGGCAGAGTTTCCAATGCGATTGGTTTCTCATTAACTGAGAAGAAGAGATTGTTCCGTATAAATATTCTGACATAACACTTATTTCTCTCTGAAGTTTATCTGATCTGTCATGACCAGCTTTGGAAAGCAGTTCTGTTTTGCTTTGTTTTTGGAAAGGTGTCTTATATAATATTTTATACTAATATACAGTTTAAATAATAAATACAGCATTGAAAATAAACAGAGGAAAAAATCGTGCCATCCATAACCATCACAGCAGCTAGATTGGCTGAGTGTTACAGCACAACAACATCCATCCATTATACTAAACAGATTCATAAACCAAAGCATATCCCATAAAACAATATAAAACTCAGACACAGGAAAATTTATGCCAAACAACAAAACTTGCAGTATGCTCTCTGAATTTCTTCCCTGCTAATTGTGATTGCTTCCCCTAGTGACTTGCAGTCTTCTGTTAAATTGTCATGACTATCGATGTGCTTAAGTGGTAGACACAAGCAAGACTGAGCCTGTATTCAGGAAGCAAAATTCTCTGTTAATATTTATGTCTAATTAGGTGTAAGATGAAGGATGTAACTATTTCTATAAAAAGACGATCTCTCAAAATTACAGTTGGTTTTCCCACGTAAATATAAGCAGAAGATCAAACTACAGTTAATTTATTTCTTATGCTACAAAAATCTAGACTTCCAAGCTTCTAATGGTGTTTCCTCTTAGCAAGACTCCTTTTGTTGTGCCGCTTGTCCACATGTGGCTAGGCATCATTGGACACGAGAAACAGATTGATAAACAAGCACACTGCAAAAACGCTTGGTCTTTCACTTTCAGAAATGCTGGAATCCATAGCTCCAACTGAAGCACAGCCAGCGAGCAGCACTTTTACAAATTGGGCTTTCTGCTTCCAAACCCAGTTAGTAGCTGTGTTACTGCTCCCATCTGACGGGCATTACAGTCCAGCTCCAGAAGAAATTGTATTTATAGACAATATATTAAAACAGTTGTTTACCTTCCTGCTTAATTAAAACTTTTTGATCTGTGCAGGCTATATCTCCCTCGCCTGCCTTACAAACAGATAGTGTTTCTCCATGGAAAGATCAGGGAATGCTTCTCTTCTAACATCCAGAGTTTTATGATTGCATTGAGTGGTGATTAACTTTGCATGCCTCGAGAACATCCTTCTGCCGCTGCTGATTTCTGCAGGAAACCCATGGAGTAATGTGTGGGCTTGTCTTGTTCGCTATTATTTCTACTGATATTTGAAATGAACAGCAGATCAAAAAGCGTCAGCATCTTTTCTCTGTATACCCAAGCAGTGTTCTAAGAAGCCTGGAGAGCAGGTTGCCACTTTCCCCAAAATCAGTGATAGTAATGTCAATAGCTTCTGTCAGCAAATAAAATCAGGTTTGTTGGATGTCTTGCAGGCTCCGAGCCCATCCATTCCGCTAACATCAATCACCCTGTCTGCAGCAGTCCTGCTCCCCTGCCACTTTCTGTTCTGGCTGTGGGAAGCACCAGCTCTAGAATTAAATACACGGAGGTTTGTGTTCCTTGTGCGGGTGTAAATCAGGAGTTAACTCCCCAGGAGCTGCATCTCTCCTGGTTTACACCAAAAGAAGCAAGGTCAGGATCAGGTACCCAGCCCCAGCTGGGCTCGACTCTTTGGGCACTGAGTGAGGAATATTTTCAGTCCCCTGCAGGGCTGCAGAGCCCGGTGGTGGCTGGGGAACAGCATTCAAATCCAAGACAGAGCGCTGCCAGCCCTGCACACAGCAAGAGCCCAACATCAGCTGCAGCAAGTCGGCTTCCCTCCAGCATGTCCCCTTCCGACCTGTACAAAGTGGAGCAGAGCTCAGCACTGCGCCTCTTTAGTGCCACCTGCGTGGCTGGCAGGGCCCCCGTTACGCCTCATTTCCCGGTGACTCTTGCAGCCAGCATCACTGGCTGGGCTGAGCCGCCGGAGGCATCCCGTGTGTCGCCAGCAGCCGCGGAGTGGTCCCAGTGATTAGCCCGGGCTGTGCTGGAGCTGGCGACCCAGCAGCTACAGGCTTTTGGCTGGTCTCAGACCACTGAACCACACAACCTAACGCACCAGGTGGGTGTCCTAAATGGTGTGAAGTCATGCATTTGCTCATTAGGTACGTATTATACAGGCTGTGCTCATACTCAATAACCCACATGAACAAGGCCATTTCCTTTAACTAATCTGGGCTGCATGGGCTGTGCAGAATTCCCCATGAGAAATGCCCATCCTCTGCAGAGGAATCCTGTGGTCCGAGCCATTACCTTTCCTCTCTTCTTTATGTGTTTTGCAGCTTTTCAAAGGCAAGTTTTTTGTCTGCCAGGGGGAGGACACCAGAAACATCACAAATAAATCGGATTGTGCAGAAGCAAGCTACAAATGGGTCCGGCACAAGTATAATTTTGATAATCTCGGCCAGGTATTAATAGAACGGTAATCTGCTTCTTTGCTCCTTTACCTCCTTGACTTAAAACCTGTGCATTATTATCCCGTGGGATTTTCTTACAGGGCACTACCAGTCACAGTAAATATTCAGTTCACATACACAGCATTCTGTCTCTGTAAATCCCAAAGGTGGTGTTTCCAAGCAGGCATACACTTCTTCTCAGAACAGAACAAGCACATGTGGCTTCGTGGAGTACTTAATTGCTTCACTGCTACATAACAAACCAAATATATCTTGCAGAAGGGCTTGTCTAATAGAGCCGGACACTTTCAACCATTTCTGTGACACTGCCTTATTTTAGCTGCGTGGCAGGGACTAATTAGTAGGGAGCAGTAGAAACCTGGAGGGTGGAAGTGAAGGTGCTTTTGTGTTCGGCTTTGTGGTTTCTGAATTAGTGTTCATTGCTGAACCGGGTGCTGACATTGATTGGGTTTTGCTGCTAGGAGAAACCTTGGTCATCAAAGTGTCCCATTATCAGCCAGGTAATGACAATCCCCAGACAGGAAAGGGCAAAGAAGAGTAAAATGTTACAGGTAAAAAAAGCTTTACTGCAACTGCGTGTAACTTTTTTTCTGTGCGTTTCTAGGCCCTGATGTCTCTCTTTGTTCTGGCCTCCAAGGACGGGTGGGTGGATATCATGTACGATGGCCTGGACGCTGTGGGAGTTGACCAGCAGGTACGTGGTTGCTGGAGGTCACAAGCTTCAGATCATTTTTTTGCAGAATGCTGTTGCTTGGGGGTTTGGGAGCTGCCAGGAGGCAGCCACATCCTGGGGTGTGCCGTGGAGCCCTGAGAAAAGTCTGGATTCAGAGCCAGCCTTTTTGCTGCAGATTTTGCCACACAATCAGTGTAGCTAGGCCACTGCAGGAGAACTACACTCGTTGAAGAATGAAGGCTGGCCTTTTAAAGCAATTTGGGCATTTGGGGAGAAAACTGTTTTGTGTAGGAACAAGTTTTCAGTGAGGGAGACAATAGCTGTAAAGAAGGTGACTGTTCTGCTGCTGGCAGAACAGACATGGTTCTGTCCTCTATGTGCTTTGTGTTTGGGCAGTATTCTGTCAAAACATCTCAGAAGGCTCTAGTTTTCATGAGGAGCAGAGCACACTGACCTAAGGGGCACCCACTTTCAAGGCTGTGGATGTAGCAGCTGTAATCATTTGCTCCCAGCTTTTTGAGGTTCAGTTGATATTTGCCTTCCTCCCCTGTGCAGCCAGTCATGAACTACAACCCGTGGATGCTCCTCTACTTCATCTCCTTCTTGCTGATCGTGGCCTTCTTCGTCCTCAACATGTTCGTGGGGGTCGTGGTGGAGAATTTCCACAAGTGTCGGCAGCACCAGGAGGAAGAAGAAGCCAAGAGGCGGGAGGAGAAGAGGCTTCGCCGGCTGGAGAAAAAGAGAAGGAGTAAGGAGAAACAGATGGCTGGTCGGTAGTCTTTCCACATCTTTCTGAGTCCTGCTTGACCTTCCACACAATCCCCTCCTCCCTCCCCTCCCTGCCCCGCGTCTGGTGATCATTCTTCTCCTAAAAGCATGTCCAGCTATGAAATTTGCATGAAGGAAATAGTGCTGTTTTAGGCTGAGCTAGGAGCCATGGAAGCCTTTTTAATAGCTGCGTGATTTGCAATGACCTTTCCATTGGAGGTTATTTAAATTTAAAAAAATAATAATAATCAGACCTGGAGCTTCTTGGATAGCAGAGCTCAGTGTTACACAAATAGTGACAACTGCAAAGATCAGCAGTGCTGGATGGCACCGTAAATCTTATGAATCATGAGCACTGTTGCTGATAACTGGATTCACTATTTGGTTTATTACAGCCTTGTAATGCCACAGTGATGCTACCTGTCCCATTTATCAAACAGGTTTACTTATTGGTAGAGTAGCACCACTGCTATTCAAGAGTGTAATAAAATAATGGAGCCATCTCATTCTAGTAATGCTTAAAAACCCCTTAGAGAAACATATCAATGCATTTGCTTGAGAAATACAGATTAGAAAAAAAAAGCAATTGAGGCGAGTAACTAACTAGGCAAAATGGCATTGATGCAAACGGATCCAAACGCCAAGCTCAGTGTGCAAGCTTGCAGCCCTGCCTGGAGGAGGCTTTAAATGTGAAAGGATGCTCGACCTCCACTCTGTCAAAAGTCTATCTATCTTTGTCTTTTGGTCTTTTTTTTTTTCTTTTCTTTTTCTTTAAATTTGATTGAAAAAGGAAGGAATATGTCAGCCAGAGGGTCAAGGTCAGAGGTACTTTTCTTCTCGCATGCTCTCTTGTGACTGAACTTTCTCCTTTGCCCTCGTGTCCATGGCCTCACTCTTTCCCTCCCCGGTCCGTCCGCCTGCTGCTCACTCCGTGTCCCCTTTCACATCTCTTCTCTATCTTTGACAGACTTCAGTACTGTTTAAGAGACTGTCTGATCAAGTGCTTGTTCTGAATGCTGGTAATATTAAGTCTGTTTTATTTTATTTTTATTATTATTTTTTGAATAACCTAAGGGGTGTTTAATAGCTGTGACAGGCTTAATTGTGCAACCATGAAACACAAGCATGTCTCAGCCTTTCTCGGTTCAGCACTCACGCAGCACTTTCCCATGTCTTTAAGTCCCATTAGCTTCACAGGTTTTGTAACCGATAGGATTATTCACACCAGCCTCTGGACATCAAACTTTGCTTTATGCCGAGAGCCTGGCTTCCTCGACGCTCAGTGGAAAGACGAAGGCTTCCCTCAAGAGCGCTGGAGGACACTTTAGACTGTTCTCAGTTAAGTGGGATCCAGGTAGAAGGAATTGGTTTTCACACCAAGGAAATGCCTAGAAAGCACTTTTGGTCAGTCCAAGTTCCCAAACACGGTTTCAGGCTGATGGTTTAGAAAAATGCTTTTAAATGGTGAATAGAAAGATCCCTATTTAAAGTCGCAGTTTTGAAAGGCAGACGTAGAAGAAAAATAGATGTTTAGTTATTATTAATGACCTTATTTATAATGCTAGAGGAACTAGATGAAAAGATGTAAGTCTGGGCAATTTCCCAGCGGGAAGGAATCACAAACCATCCTTGGAGATGTAGTTATTCATTCAGTCCTATGAAATGTCTAATTAAAGAGGCAATAAACAGCTATTTTACTGAGGATCAAATATTGCTGAGTATTCAATCGCCATAAAAACCTTTGAAGAGCAAAGTCTAAAGCCCTCCAAATCGCTTCAGAACAGTTTTCCCAATTCACGTCCAGCAAAATGCTGTTTTTAATTGACCGTGTCCGGCTTTGCCCTCGAAGACAGCAGATGTCACAGCTTAGCTTCGTTCTGCATGGTGGGAACTTGCAGCAGATACCGAGATGAGGCTTTGGTCGTGCCAGCAACTGCATGGGGGCTCCTTCTAGCAGGGCTTCCTGAGCGTCCCCGAGTCTACCTACAGATGTCTATTTTTCATGTAGCCAGATGTAGACATCTAACAGTTGTTTTTCTTCATAGACTTTTCAAATGCAGTTACCCAGTCTGAAAAGCAGAGGAGCGTGTGGGATCCTGGTTGGTGAGGTGTAGGCAAGTGCAGGAGTGGTTGCTGTAAGGTGCCCAGCAGGACGCGTGCCCCACCTCAGGTACAAAGTCTGTCCTCCAGGAGCGTCTCCTTCTCCACCACCATCAAGCCAGGGCGTTCTCAGGGATCTCTTGGGCTTCCACCTGTGTACGCGGGAAAAGCACAAGAGCCCTTCAATGTTCATGATGAGCCCGTGTGCCCGAGCCCACCCTCCATGGGACGCGAGGAGAGGATCTGCAAGGAGATGCTCGCGGTAGAGGCAGTGGAGAGCGCGAGAGCCGTAGGAACCTCTCAAGGGGAAGGGAAGTCTTGCCGCGTGTCCTGCCGGATGATTAATGCCGTTTCGTTCTTTTAGATCTAATGCTGGATGATGTATTAATGGAGAGCACAGCCAGTGCAGTGCAAGGTACTGGGAAGTCGTCACGTCTCGTCCCACTTGAATGGCAGTGCTGTGTAACTAACGGCTGGCCACGCTGCTGTGAGGCATCCCACTAAACTGTGTGTGTGGTGCAAAGCTCGTTTGCTTACTTCATGGCACACGCGTCTCATTCTGACCTGCAGGTCTGCAGACCTGGCTCAGGACTGACACTTGCAAATCCTTAATTTATCCCTTAATCACGTTATGTTTTTCAGTCATTTTTTTTTTTCTGGTTTTCGTTAAAGCACTGTCAGACTTTTCATAGCTCTTTTATTTTTTTCTTAATTTTTAATTTTTGTTTTGTTTTGTTTCGGAGAATAATGTCTGGACTATGAAAGGGGTCCTTTATTGTTTACGCTAGCTTTCCAACCACAGACTGAGGAGTCTCTGAATAACTTGCAGGAGTGTCTCTGGAAGGCGGGCAGTCTGGCTTAGGGAGATCATTTTGTTATTTTGCCAGCCCTCGCTCCTTGCTCCACAAAGGCTGTGCAGCAGGGAGGCACAGTATTTTTCAGCAGGGTAAAATCCAGGATAGTGCAGATCTGCACCAGCCCTCAGCAGGGACATGGGTTTATCTGTAGTGCTGCCAAACTGGTAAATTCTTCAGCCTGATAGAGAGCTGCTCCACCCATGAGCATCTTGTAAGTTAAAAGAAATAAAGATGTCACCTCGTATCCACTCCAAGCCCTGCAGGGATGGGGCAGCTGTGCTGGAACCCGCTCGGAGTCTGTGCTAACCACCCTGACCCGCTGCTCGCTGGCGTTGACCTGTCCCCTTTTATTTTTAGAAGAAGCTTTGATCTGGCAAGCATTTTGTTTAATTCATAACTTAAGAATATTAGCCTGAATAATTAAAGAGGCGCCAACATAGAAACAAATATAGCTGTAATTTTCGACAAAAATAATGTGCTGGAAAAATTGTGCTGTTAAAACTCTCACCTGTGAAAAGTCTCCCACTGCCTGAACTGGGAACAGGGCTCCATCCATCTGTCACACGCTGCAGGGAGCTTTGATTAAATAGAAATTGCAGGTGAGGGCGATTGGCTTTGGCTGGGGAGGATAACTCAGGGGGACAGAGGTTCCCACCCTTATATTTCTGAGCCCTTTGGAAGTTATCACAACATGCTTTCATAAACCCTGAACCTCCTTTCCATTGCCATTTCTGGTACTTTTATTTCTTTGCCTTCATTCTTGCTTTTCTTGTCGGTCTCTCTCTTCTGCAAAACTGGCCACCGGCCCTCAGGGCAGCACTGGGGGTTGCCCTGGGCTTGGGGGCTTCTTTGTTTGTTCTTTCTGTCTGGTTGTGACTCCTCTTCTAGTCGTACAGTTACGTCAAGTATGTTTTATGGTATTTTATTTGATTTTTAAGGCATTGAATTCATTCCAAACCCCTCTGTTATCCTGTGCAGACTCAGAAAGAGTTCTGGAGTCTGCCTTTAAAAAGCGTGCGATTGTCAGGTCTGTGCTTTGTGTTGCCTTTTGTTGCCTGTTCTTTGGATCCCCTCTCGGTGAATGCACCACGCTGCTCTTCAGGCGCTGGCGTGAGCGCGCGGAAAGATTTCTTTCTGAACCCGACTGCTGGAGACGTTAGGGAATCAATCCTGGGTGCCGTAGATGAACCTCCTGGGGTTCAGTGGGAAACCTGAGGTTGTGATCCCAGCACTTCCACACATCTCTGCAGTTACAAAGGGCTGCCTTTCTCTTTATGTGAAGATAAGATGGGGAATTGTGTGCGTGCGCTGCTGCCTGGTGCGTAGTGAGATATTACAATTTTTTTTCTGTTTTTTTTTTTTTTTTTTTTTTCCCCCCCGAAGTCTACATTCTATCACAACTGGAAACTTCACAGTGGAAATAATTTATCATTTTCCATTTTTTTTTTTTTTTGTTATAAATCCATTCAGTACAATAAAAGCCAAGTAAAATGCTGTGTTTAAATAAAAAAAAATTCCTTCAGTGCAAACTACTTTTTAACCTAATAATGTTCTTTATACAGTTTGTAAATCCGGCTGCGTCATGGGCTCATTGCTCACGGCCTTGCTGCCGTCCTCCAGATACACTCAGAGCTGCAAAGGAGTTAATTCCCTTATTATAGAAGGAGGAAAAAGCCAGAGGAGACTGTAATGGAATTGTCCCACTCTCGTGAATTCCAATTTCCCATGCCCACGCAGCTCCGGCTGCAAAGCCACTTCGGGGAAAGTGGCAATTTCTCTCTTGACAGAGCTATATTGGGAGGCAGCCCCGCTCCAGCAGTGGCACCATCCGTTTTGGAGCCACGCGCTCAGCTTGGAGAGGGCAGAACAGGGGTAGGAATGGGGAAGGTTTGTTGTGCAGCAGCAATAGGAACTGCCTTAGCTAAGGGCTATCTCTGGGGGCATCGGCATTGGGTTTTACTGGGGAGCGAGGGAGCAGCATGGTGAGATGCTCGGGTAGCCCAGGATCCAGGCTGGCATTGCTGTGGGCTGCTGCCTTTTACTCCTCAGCCCTTGGCAGGCATCGCCCACAGCCATGATCCCATGGGATGATGCAAAGAGGAGCAGAGAAAGTCTGCTTGGGAAACAAGTCAAGCTGAGAGCCCATCAAAATGATTAGCTAACAGTGAGTGCCACTGTGACAGGCATCTGCCCCATAGAGACCATTTCCCAGGACAGAGGGACAGGAAGGGTTCTCTGGGCCAAAAATCTCTCTGTAAAATCACCTTCCTACCTGGGCCAGGAGGAAATTGCTTGGGATCCGCTCCCTGAGCTGGTTTTCTCCAGTGTAACTCCACCTAAATCCGAGACACTTCTCGCCCCCACTCCTGGCCTCCAGCCACAGTGAAGCAGCTTGATTTACATCCTGTTTACCAGCCTGATGTTTCGTAGTGGGCTTTTGCTGTATTTCCCCATCTTCTCACATTCTCATTCTGCCAATTCTTCTTTCTTTTGTTTGTTTGCTCTTCTACTCTTTTCTTTAATGCCATGTGTGCCGGGAAGCCAGTTAACCTTTCCAGTAATAACCGAGACTAACCCAGAGCTCTTGTTGTTCTTGACACAGTGTATTGTAACAGTACAGTAATGTGGTGTTGTGTTAGTTGTGAAGTTCACCACCTGGAGTTTAACAGATGTCTGTATTTCCCAAGATGTTGGTATTGTTTAGATCTTTATTGCAATAATTATAAAGGATACTGTGTGATAGGGGGCAGGGGCTTCGCACCTGGATAATTACAGATGAACAATACCCAATTTATGTGCAGAAATGCACAGGTCATCTTAAAAAAATAATGTTTATACGGCAGCAAGAAAAGCAGTTCATCTGTCCAGAAAGTTCCCTGCCTACCTAGGCACAGTAGCTGTTTGTCCGCGGTGCTCGGACAGCATGCTCTTCTGTGTGTGCATCACCTCGAGGTAATTTCTGTACTGCACTAATATGCATGGCCAGCATGCGGGGAACAGCGAAGTGAGTGGCGGTATGATTTATAAACAGGGTTGACAAATCCCCTCCTAACAAACTTACCGGTGAAGGACAAAGCATTTGACGATGGTAATTTTCTAAGGCTGCATCCACCACAGCAGCAGCCAGAGACGTTTGGCTCTGGAAACCTTGGGGACGTGCTGGGAAAGGTGACAAGGAGCTTTGGTGTTTGGGAGAGGGGAGAAGCCTTTGCAGATAGATGAGCAATTAACAACCCTGCTTATAAGGTCACGCACTGACTAATCCAGGTGCAGGATCCCTGCACAGGAGACATTTTAGAAACTCTCTCTAAATCCTCTCTCTGTTCTAACAGCATCGGTGCTATTCTGTAGGATTTGGAATTACCTGTCAATCAAAGCTAAGAAAAATTTGAATTCCAGTGTAATTATTCATAAGTAAATCCACTGCAAGAAAAGGCAGAAACATTGACATTTTTCTCTTTGAATGTGAATTATACATAAATGTAGAAGAAGTAAGTGATCCAATTACTATGGTGTTTCTTTCTGCGATGATAAGTTGGTTCATAAAAATAGGTCCTGTTCCTAACTTAATTGTATTCAAACATTTTAGTTAATTTGCTACTCATAATTTAGCATAATGTGATCGAGATATCTTGACTTTATGGAGATTTATGCAGATTCTGAGATATCTGACAAAGTCTTATGAGTGAGTCAGCAGCTACCAGTCTGCTTTTTTGTAAGCACTCAATAGATTCAGCATGAAAATTCATTTTACAGACCTTTTCATCGATATCGTGCTTTAGCACTCCGGTACAGATCACCTAAAGCACAGTGCAGATCAGAAAGTGAATATTAATACTGCCTTTTATGTGTTGACACCGAGGTAGAATTTTGGACGTTCCAAACCCCTACAGAATAAAACTGCTAAAGGATTTGTCTCTCTGGTCCCTGGGCTGTAGGGGAAAAGCCTGTCTCTACCGAAGAGAACAAAACTCTGATTTTCAGGATCCTGTTATGAAGCAGGGAGCGCATGAAACCATTAAATCTATGGTTTTGATTGCAATGTTATTGACTATTGACAAAGTAAATTCTATTTCCAGGCAAAACTTAATCTTCTAAAATCAGTTTTCCCTGAGGGCAACCCAAATCTGGGCTTCACGGCTTCCCTTGGCCTGACTTTTTGCTCAGAGTAATGTATCAAACTGTACATTTGCTCAGCAGCACAAAATATCAAGCCGTGTAATTCTTACAGCTCAATAATTTTCATAACCAGTTGATCATCTAATTAGAAGAGTAATATTACACTCTGACATATTCAAGACAGTCCTTTCCACTTCAATCTGCATTATAATGCCTTCTTGAAAATTGTACTGAATTATATACTCAGCCTTGGCATTTCCTCATTAGAGATTAGGTGAGTAAATGAGTTTATCTCTAGGAACATTCGAGGTCTAAAGAGCATGTCGTCCCTGCAGCAGCCCAACCTGGGAATGAGTTGAACAGTGAAATCTGTACTTTGATAATCTTGTATAAATGGAGGATCGTTATTTTCTAATCACTAAGGCTGACGGATCAGTTTTCCTTGGTATTTTTATGGACCATTTTTCAGCCCTCTGACAGCCAAAGTGTTGAATTTTGTTCTCTCCACAGTTTATTGCAAAGAGCATAATAGGACTGAATTACTTCTCTTTCAAAGACCACCGCTAACTGAATGCCCTGTATTTTTAAGCCATTGTTACTAAAATCTGTCCCCAAAATCTGACCGCTAATTGGGCTTTTGGATACTTTGGGGACTTTCTAAGCTCAGTAGCTCAAAAAAAATGTTGTTTTAATTTAAATTTTGTTGAAATTTCCCTACGGTGAAAGCATTCCTTAGCACCACAGTAATCCCAGCTCACCTCATCCCTGATGCCATAAGGCTGAGTATAGCGCATGTCCCGCTGAAGACATTTAATGGATGTAAGATGACGGGAGCCCTGCTGTGTATTAAAAATGGTAACATGCCAGCAAGGGAGGGCGAAAAAAAAAAAAAGAAAAAGACAGCATGTTGCTGTAATCGGTGTAGAATTTATCATCTTTGGAGTCTGGAAAGTGAGGGCGCATTGACTTGAGCAAGACGCAGAGAAATGACTTGACGTGCCTCTCCGCTCTCCTCCTCCCGCTGCAGAAGCACAGTGCAAGCCCTACTATTCAGATTACTCCCGCTTCCGCCTCCTGATCCACCAGATGTGCACCAGCCATTATCTGGATCTGTTCATCACAGGCGTCATCGGCCTCAACGTGATCACCATGGCCATGGAGCACTACCAGCAGCCAAAGGTACCGGGCTAGAGGGGGACAAAGCAGGGGATAACAAGCTCAGCCATGGTGGGATGAGGTTGGTGGGCACAGTTACAGCCACTTTTGCTGTTTGACCTCAGGGTCCCATTCACTAAGTCCAAATCATCCCTTGGCACCACTGCAAATACCCGTCCTACATCTGGCTTCCAGCTCAGACCATGGCCATCTGTACCTGGAGCCTGTTGCACCTCTCCCTTCTAGTTAAGTGCAAGCTGACTGCTCTGAAAATGAGGACGGGAGCATGTTTGTATCATTAGGTAGAAGAGATCACCACTAAAGTCTTCCATTTGACTTAATATTCCCACAAATGAAGGAGAAAAAAAAATGCACTTGAAACCTTTTTGAAATGTTTCCCCCAAATCTCCAAAGTCCTGTAGGGCCTAATTTTCACAGGCACTGGGTTCCATGTTGGTCCCTAAAATACATTTTAATATATTAGTGTGCTAAGCTCCTGAGTCTTGGTCATATTCTGAAAATAAAAACAGCCTGTCCTGGGTTGTCAAGTCTCTTGCGCGTAAGAATGAAATGGAAATAGAAGCCATTGCCATATAACGTGTACTTATTTTTATTAGCCACTTTCAGAATGAATAAATACAGCACACAATAGGAAGAAGTATTCTTCAAGACTAGACAGAGCTTGAATACTTAATGTAAAAAAAAAAAAAAAAAAAAAGACCTTCAAGCGAGGGGAAAAATATCCTCCAACCTATCATAAAGAAGCCAAAAAGTGAAAGGGCACAAGCCCAATTTATTTCTTCTGTTCAGGTCACCTTTAAATACCTTGGAAGGCTCATTGCATGATTCAGTCATTTGGTGATGAAAAAGGTTGTTGGCTAAGGAGCTCGTATTGGAATTGCTCGAGGGCGTGCATCTTACCGCAGTCGTTTTGCAGCTACGTTTTCTCTTGTATTATAAAAATGTTGGGCAGGCTTTTGTTTTTAATTTTCTTTAGGAAAATAACATTTTGTCTCTAAGCCTCTGGTATGCAGCATCTGGGTAATAACTCCAAACTCGGTCTGTGCTGAGATGACAGCACGGCGAGGGCCATGCACATGTTTGAGGGCCTTGCCGAATCAGGGCCCCGCAGTCGCTCCGGGCTGGGTAACTGATGGTGAGGATCCCACAGATATTTAAGAGGCTAAGTGTACCAAAAAGCTGTGTACCCAAACTAATGATTTCTTCGCATGTTGGTGATGAGATACTTAAGAGGCCATGCAGAATGCTGCTACTGCAGTGCTCCTTTGCAGGCATGTTTTTTGGGATGAAATCAGCTCTGATGGAGCTCCCGGTGGTGCAAAAGCTGCCCCAGCCAGGAGGTGCCTGTAGTTATGGGCCAGACTGGGACACCTGCAGAGGGAAGGGTGGCAGAGGAATACCCAGGCTGCTCGGTCCTGCTGGCTTGCTGTCCCAATGACCTGCTCCTTGCCAAAAGCGCAAGGTGAGGAGTAAAGGACAGGCTGTCACCAAGCAGCCATTTGGCCAAAGGCTCGTACAGACCCAGCCAGCACACAGCTCCCGCAGCAGCACACAAATGAGCACGTGGGATGAAATTCAGCTTTCTGCAGAGAGCACGAGGATTTTGCGCTGCTGACAGCTGCAAATGCAGCAGTTCCTATCACTTACCCAAGTGATCTCAGCCAGGGCTGCGTTCCTGCCAGCAGCAGTCAGGTCCCTGTGGGCTTTGAGTCATGCCTTGGGTTGTTAATATCACCCCATCCCGCAAATTATGTTGGGTGGGCCAGGGCCAGGCAGAAATGCCATCTGTGCACTCCCTGGAGTACTGGAACTTTTCCTTGGGACATTTCTCATCCTGCGAGAGGCTGCGGTTGGAGTCTTTTGTCTGTAGTTAGGAATTGAGGAGCTGTGGTGAAAGCAGGAGAGGGCAGGTTTGAGGGCAGCACGGCCCCTTTGCAGAGCTGGCATCTAACTGCGGTGCTGTGTCCACATCCCAGGTTCTCGATGAAGCCCTGAAGATTTGCAATTACATCTTCACCGTTATCTTTGTCCTGGAGTCTGTTTTCAAGCTTATCGCCTTTGGGTTTCGTCGCTTCTTCCAAGACAGGTAACTAAAGCTACATGTTGACCATGAGGGCAGCTGCGGGTTTTTAGAGTCAGCTGCCCAAATTCAGCAGCTTAGACCCCAGCACTCTTCCCAGTGATAGCATCTAACACGTGGAAATGCTTTTTGGTGTGGCTGGTGGAAACCAGGGTAGGCGGACAGTTAGGATGTGAGTTGGAGACAGGAGCGTGCATGTGAAGAAGAGTGACTTGCACCGATTTGGTGGGTGGACAAAATTGGAGCAAGTCACTCACCGACTGTCTGGTTCCCTTGTCACACCGACTGCGTGTCCACAGAATCGTGAGGACTGAGTGAAGTGGCAGAATTTGTGCCAAGGAAGAGAGACTGCTCCTGAGCAGAAATCAAAGAGCAAAAGGACCTCCTTTTGTGCAGATGCTGAGCAGCAGATGAAATGGCTGCTTTTTCTAAATTTCTGCTCTCGTATCTCACAAATAAATATTTTATGTCAATGGTAAATCTTTCTCCTCCCATTTTCACCTCTTTCAAGGTCAATACCAAGAGCCCTGGCACTGAGCCGGACGTGATGTGAATCATTCAGCAGCCAGGGGCATGGTTTCACACGTCTGCCCCCGTTTCGGCTCTCTGTGCTGGGATTACATCTCTGTCTGACCCGGCAGGAATCCGTGGTGTCTTTCCTTCACCCGGTGCAATTTTTGTTCCAAGGACTGGGCACGGGCTTCACCTCTTTCTGGGGTAAAGCTCACGCCGAGGTCCACGAGTGCCATGTCTGGAAGGGGCCAACAGAGGCTGCAGCATCTCCCCTGAGGTCTGCAGCCTCTGGGTAGAAAACTGCCCTGCTTTGTTTCTGTTTCCCTTCAGTCGAGAATAACGTTGGCTGTTAGCTGATTTTATAACAAGCTGCATTAGTTATAATGATTTCATAACATAACTGCTTTTGTATAATACCCTCAGAAAAATGCTGCAGCTTCATTTGAGTGCGAGAACCATTGAAATGACTGGAATTCATGTGAAACAAGCTGCCTCCTGTTGCCAGCTTCTTAGTAGATGTTAAACTTCATTTTGTGTTGTCTCCAGATGGAACCAATTAGATCTGGCAATTGTGCTGCTGTCTATCATGGGTATCACTTTGGAAGAGATTGAGGTGAATGCTTCGCTACCAATTAACCCCACTATTATCCGAATCATGAGGGTTCTCAGGATTGCTCGAGGTGAGACAAATTAAGCAGAACTGGCTTGTGTTAGAGGTTGCAGGGTCCCCTCCAGGAGAGAGTTAAGCATTGGGAAACAGTTCTGGGGCACATCCCCATCGCAGTGTGCATAGCTGCTGGCATCAACAGCCTGTAAACAAATAAAAGAACAATGGGGGAAAATACTTGCGAGGAGCCAAAAAGCTGAGCCAACTGACCATGTGTTTCTATCTTAAGAGGACTTGAAGACTGAGAGCTTAGAAATAAAGGACAAATAGCTGTGGTTGTAACTCCCAGAGATGTACCTGGGAAATTATGCCAGTCAAATCAAACTCGTCTCTGACGGGGATTACAGAACACAAGCTTGAGTACATTGGCTTTAAAAGACAAGCATCTAATAAATTTAATTTCCCGTGGGACTTTACATCTCACCACATTGTGACAAAACATGCCTCATCACTCTGCATCCATCTGTCCCCTCAGAACTGTAATGACACGTACCCGAGTTGCGAAGCCAGCTTCCTTAGGGCTGGATTTTTCACAACAGGGACGTCTCAGGTCCAAACGATGGAGAGGAAAAATGTGAGTGCTCAGGCCCTTAATAAAGTGCTCCCAGCCTTTCCTGAAGGGCAATGTTGTGCTCTGAGGCATAATTGCTATGATTGCAGTCCTCATCTAAGCAACGAGAGAAGAAATGAAGTGCTGTTGTGTCTCAAGGGAGAAAAAAGTGTTTTTCCTGTGCATTGGATCCCTTTCAGAATTAAAAATATAAGCAGTTTCCAACTGGATATGCAGCCTTCTGGAAGAGATGTGTAAATCAGTTCCTCAGTGAATCATATATGAAAGTGGGTAGCCTATGGAAGTGGGAAAGTAGCCCCAGAGCTGGGAAAGCAACTGCTCACAGTGCAGGGGAAGAAAGAGCTGGGTCCAACAGAGATGACATGGGGAAAGGATATTCTCTGTCATGTATTTTGTTAGATTCAAAACCCAAGCTGGAAGTACACCTGGTGTGCAAAGTGGTGTAAGAGGCCAGCGAAGGATGCAGCTCGCCCCAGCTGTTAGCTTTAAAGCAGCTAGAAGGGAACATGTGCGTACCTTTTAAACCTCATTATTCCGCTCGGTAGCTGGAGCCAGCATCAGGTGAAACGGCTGCTCCTGTGTTCCTGGGTAGGTGTCGAATTGTCCTTCTCAGTGAGAGGGAAAGGAAAAGCCAGGCAGAATGGCAGTGCTTGCTCCAGGTCTCAGGATAGGTGATGCTGCTGCTCGCAGGAGTTCAATAGTATCCAAGCAACCAGGAGCGATGCCAAAGGGCCAGGAGCTGTAGTGGCTCATGGAGAACCTTGCCATCATTTCACATTTCTCCTCCTATAAACCTGTGGCTCCTGTGAGGGGGGCTGAGTTTGTGCCTCCGTACTAATGCTGCCGTTACCATATTACGACCGTGTTTTCTGCAGTGTTGAAGTTGCTGAAGATGGCTGTAGGGATGAGAGCCCTGCTGGACACCGTGATGCAAGCGCTGCCTCAGGTAACCCACTGCCACAGCACACCAGATCTCCTCTGGCCCACAGCTGATTTCTTATTGCGGAGGAATGCTAATCATTTTATCTCTACTGTCATTAGAGACTCACATTTCCCTTCCGAAGCACAGTCTGAGATACAGTCCTCACATTGAGGTCATTTTTCCCCCGAAGCAATTTAAGTTTTGGATTAAAGAATACAGCAAGAAACAGGTCTGGAACAAAAAAATCAATGAATGTTCTTTTTTTTTCTTTTTTTTTTTTTTTTTCTTTTCCCCCCCATTTCTTTTTCTCTTTCCAGGTGGGGAATCTGGGTCTTCTCTTCATGTTGTTGTTTTTCATATTTGCAGCTCTTGGAGTGGAGCTCTTTGGAGACCTCGGTGAGTGCTGCCCTGCGCCGTGATGGCAAAAGGGGGTGGGCGCGGGGGCGAGCGGGGGTCTCACTGCCGCGCTTGGTCCCGCAGAGTGTGATGACACGCACCCCTGCGAGGGGCTGGGGAGGCATGCCACCTTCCGAAACTTCGGGATGGCCTTTCTCACTCTCTTCCGGGTATCCACGGGGGACAACTGGAATGGGATAATGAAGGTAAGAGACCCACGGAAGCGGCATTGCCTGTTGCTGCTCTCAACAATGGTCCTGATCCCTGCTGCCCAGCAGCACGATGCCTGTGGTTATGCCATGGTTGCAGGCTTCTGGACACCCCGTATGTTTCCTTTCTTAACCCTGAGAGAGCACCTTAAGGAGACAGGATAAAGCAAAGGGACACATGTCTCAAGTAGCATGAGTTCAGTTCAGTAACAGATGAGTTATGATTTATTTTTTTCTTAAGTCTCCAATTACTGTTGCTTTTTTGTGGTTTTTGGTTTTGTGTGTTGGTTTTATTGTTGTTTTCTGAGAAAACCCATGTTTCTGGGAGAGAGTCTGTCTTAGGGGACAGCCTAAAAGTCAAGTCACTGTGAAGAAACCTGCTCTGTGAACGCCCGGGGTGCCAGCTGGGCCGAGGGAATTGCTGCTCTGTCTGTCTGTAGCCCATGGTGAATGTCAGCTGGCTAAACCCCACCAGGGAGCTGTGAGCTTGAGGAAGGGGTGTCTGCAAGCCCTGCTACTGTGGGGTAGCCGATGGGTTGTAGTGCACCCTGCTTTGCCCTGAGTCCGTGCACCACATTCTTGTTTTTGGTTTCTAACCTTGTAAAACGGGCTTATCCAAAGCGAGGCACTGGAACGAGTGAGGCCATCACAGCACCAGCATGTCAGTGTCTGTTGCTGAGCTCCCCAGGGACAGTTTCCTTTGAGCCTGCTTATGGTGACTAACACAGGAGAAGAAGTGAGGTTTTACTTGGAAGTATTTTGTCATTCTGGACATGAAACTTGCCCAAACTTCTCTGTTTTCTGCATGGAGGGAGAACCCACTGCAGCCAAATGACAGGCAGAGGTCTGTGCTGGCCAGCTGGAACCTCCTCACACCCCTCAGCCATTCTCCCCTTGTTTCTAGGACACCCTGCGAGACTGTGACCAGGAGTCCACCTGCTACAACACCGTCATTTCGCCCATCTACTTCGTCTCCTTCGTGTTGACAGCCCAGTTCGTCCTGGTGAACGTGGTGATCGCCGTGCTCATGAAGCACTTGGAGGAGAGCAACAAGGAGGCTAAAGAGGAGGCAGAGCTCGAGGCAGAACTGGAGATGGAGATGAAGACAATCAGCCCTGGCCATCGCAGCCCCTCGGACATCTTTGCTTGGACAGGCAGTGTCGGTGGCGAGAGACCCGAGAGCCCCCGAGGATGTACCAATCCCATGCAAATCAAGGTGGATTCTCAGCTCTCATTAGTTTACCCTATGGTGAGAATCTCAGTTGGAGGGTGAAGAGGGGTTGGCCTGCTAAGGGAAGACATGCACGAGTCGGTAATGAAGGAGCGGGTGTACCATATGCTAGGGGCTTGGATTCCTCGCTGTCTGCTGACGGATTGCTGCAAGGTGTTGGAGCCAGTGCTCCAGGAAGGAGACCCTAGGCAGGTCTCCAGCCCACCTTGATGCATCTGTTTGGAGGTACAGAGCTTTGCAATTTGTTCTGGAGATGTGCCCAAGCCACCAAGTTCAGAGCTTGCTCTAAATTTGCTCTAATCCAAAGTTTGGGCTAGGCTCTTTGCAAGAGCAAAATTACGAGCATAATAGTGCTGCCACAAACTGCAACATAAAAGAGGAATAAAACTTGGCTAATCTTTGCTTAAGAAATAAATTTGTTTTATAGAGCCTCAACTTAAAATCCGTCCCCACAATCAAGCGTGTAAGAAAAGATTATTTTAACAATAGAATAATCCAGGGGGGACGCAAACCTGAGCTCACCAGCACTGGTGGCAAAACTCCCATTAGCAGGAGCAGGGCCCTGACGTGGTAGTTGCTACGGCTGCAGCAAGTCTCTGCAAAGCAGAGCTTCTGGATGAAGACTCCGTTTGAGGAATGAGGGAGGTGAGGTCAAGACCCAGACGGGTCCTTTGGGAGGGAACTGCACTGGAATTATACAAGAAAAATGGTCCAGCCTTTTTTTAGTCTTAGCTGATTGCAAATTGGGTTAAACTCTACACAGACCTCATTAGCTTTTATTACATCATGATTTCACAACCGCATATCTTGGCCTCTGCCTGCGGCGGACTAATGAGTATTCTAATGCATGAAAAACTCATTTATGATCTTTAGTCCAAGAGTGAAAAAGAGTAAATCCCTACTTGAGCTTTGTTTCAGTTCCTAAGCTACCGGCGATTTCTGGTTCCATTAGGAGTCACTGATGTCTGAGATGGAGTCCAAAGCTGCTCTTTGGCACAAGAAAAAGGAGTTCAGGGCAATATGGGGAAATCCAGGCTCATTACAGCCTCTAGGAAGAAACAACATGTCCCAACTGCTGTTGTACACGTTGAGCAGAGTGCTGGCAAACTGTCCTCAGCTCTATTGCCCTGCATCAGTACTCATATTGGCAAAAAAAGAGGTTGTAGAATTGCAGGAGAAATCAATGAGAAGGATGCTTTCAGCTCTTCAGCCTGTTCAACCTGTCCTTTGTGAAGGTGGCATTGGGAAGGGCTTATTCTTGTCAAAATCTCCAGAACATCTTTCTTGCTCTTCCACCCAAACAGAGGCTTTGAAAACCTCCAGGAGACTTTATTCCAATTATTTAAGGTCCCAGCCAAAAATCTTCAGGACAAATCTGATGCTTGAGCATGACAGTAGAGGAATTCAATTCCCAGGACGTGACCCTGCAAGGACATGTGGTTAGCATGCTGTTCTGCTTGCCTTGTCCCCAAGATTTTTGCACTGTGTGCTGTTTGACTGTAATGACGGTCCTCATTTCATCGTACACGTTAGGCATTTCCTACATGAAAGGTGCTTAAATTGCTGCCACACCGTGTGTGAGGGGTCCTGCTCTGCGCACCCTCCTGCTGTCTGTGCTGTGGCCAGATGTTTTGAAGTTGGCCAGGACAACAGAGGCACCTCAGCCCGTGTCTGGCACATGAATGAGTGACCTGAGGTGTGGCTGTCCTGGGCTTCTGCAGCTTTCATGGACAGGATGCTCGGCATCTCTTCCAGTTGGGTTATTTTAGTTTATGTGACCAAGGATATGGATTTAGGTGTCAGATATTAGGCCCTTTTTGCTCAAAAGCATGGACTTTTGAACCTTACAGCAGTAGTGTCCTGTAGAAAACAGCCCCGTTACACAGCTCAGACACCAGCAGGATCCAGCCATGTGTGTCGAGGGCTGAGGGGTTTGGGACACAGCAGCCCCTCCAGTCCCATCTCTCGTGATGTTGGAGAAAGCTTTCACTGCTCACTGTGATATTACTGCACTGTTCTCTCTCCTCTCCTGCCTCACCTTGCCTGTCCTGTTGTTTCTGTTACTGCTATTCTCCATCAATGTTTGTCTTTTTTTTTTCTCCCTTCTGTTCTTTTTTCCTCTTTTGTTTGCTTTGTTTTGTTTTTGTTTTTTTTTTTTTACACTGTACTTTTTTCCCTCTGTCTCTGTCCCTCAAATTTTATCTCTTTCTTTGGCTTGCTCTACCCTTCTGCATGCTACACACCACCCCTCCTAGGAAAGGCACTTGTTTGATACCATATCACTGCTGATCCAGGAATCTCTGGAAGGAGAGCTGAAGCTGATGGACAACCTGTCAGGCTCTGTGTGCCATCATTATGCCCTCCCTGCTCCTGAATATTACAACTCTGAGAACCAGGTTAATATTCCTAATTTCCTGAAAAGTCTCCATCCAAACTTGATTTGACTGAGACCTTTAATAGAGAGTTAAAATTCTTTGCTTTTATGTAATGCAGTCGCAGGGATTTTGGAGGATAATCATTTTGGCTTTTTCTCTGAGAGTCAGGATAAGATCTGATTTTATGAAGTTGTGTATCAGTGCAAGAGGAAAAGTACAGGCTTTGAGTTTCCATCTTCAACACAGTAAGAAGGTTTTCATTGGATTTACTGTTCATGAGTGCTGCAGGGAAAATGTGCAAAATCCCATCTTCATCCTCCAGTGGGGTTCTTGTGTCTGGCATCTTGCTCTCACCCAGGGCTCCACAGCAGTGTCAGGACACAACTGCGGAGCCTGGAGGACAGCTTGAGTTGTTCCCAGAGGGGAGCCTGAGCTGGCAGGGATCAGAAGTTGATCTCTGCATCTTGTGCGTACTTACACTACGTGAAAATCCAGTTTTGAATGATTTTCCTACAGAGGCTTCTTACAAGTGGGTCATTGTGAACTAGATCCTCATCTCTGATCCACACTGAATTCTGAAGGCGAGGCAGCCCTTAACGATGTACTTAAGTAATGGCGTGCTCCAGTACTTTCTTGAATACATGCTGTAGTGCTTATTTAAAATCAGTTCATTTACTTCTTAGAATAAAATTCCTTCTTTTTCAAGCATGTCATTCTTTAGAGCAAATATTTTCCCTAACTCACAGCAGTAACCATAATAATAATTCAAACATACCTTTTTTTTGTATTTTCCCCTGCAGTTGGAATTCAGCAAATTCCGGTATTTCTTCATTTCTTTTCGTTCTGGCTAAAAATAGCCAGAAGTTTTCTTGTTAAATCAGTGTGCTTATTTACGAGCTCACTGACACTCTAAATTATCCAACTCAGTGGTTCATTAGAGGGAAGGAACAAGCTTAGGTAAAATGAAATCCTACTGCAGGTCTTTATATAGCAGGAGAACATGTCTCCCTCTGATTGCTGCCTATCGCTCTCCAGATTGAAGTCTATTAAGCTGTAGGAAGCAGCTGCCTCTGAGAGCTGCTGGAGGAACAGAGACGGTAGCTTTGGTGGGGAAGGCTGAGGGTCAGCGCGAATCGCAGCAAGAGCTGGTTGGGAATTTTTTGCCACAACATTTTTCACCAGAAAGTGCTGTTGCAGCAAAAAAAAAAAAAAAAAAAAGAAAAAAGAAAAAAAGGTTTTGTTTTGACATTTTTATGTAATGAAAAAATATAGCATTTCAGTTTGCAGTGGGTTTTTCTTTTCAAATTTAAGCTAGACTTTTTTTGTTGTTGTTGCAATTAAAAAACATATAAATCAATTGAATGTTTCCAACAAAATGTTTTGACTGCCTCAAATTCAATTTTGGGAGAGGGGAGGCTGAAAGGAGGGCTGTTTTGTTTACATTTTGGCTTTTCCGTTCACAACATTTGTCATGTTCTCGGGCAAGTCAGGAATTCAGAGCAGCGCTGGGACCTGCTGAAAGCAACCTGACGAATGGCAGCTCCCAGCAGAGCAGCTCTGCTGGGCAGGAGATGCCGGCGCCCACCACGCTCCAGCACAGCCCAGCTCCAGTCGGCGGGCTGGATGTGTCCCCATGAGCCATCGGCATCCCCGTTAGGGATTGCAGTCCTCGTGCTGGCAGCCTGCTCAGTCCTGCCTGGCTGGGGGCCCTGGGGGAAGCCAGGAGGTCCCCCAGAGCATCTCTCATCCATTGCCAGTGGACGTTAGTTACCAAGCCCGAGGTTAGATGAGAGGAGCCCGACCCTCTTGCTTTTTGTAGCCAAGGTTTTGGGACTCTCAAAGTTCACTCGTCACTGGATTTATTTCACCCCACCAATATAATTTCTTTGAGTGAGGTAACTCAGAGCCCTTTGACAACTTAACAGCAGCAGATCTGGGCCTCTGTGGTTTCTGCTGGAAGAAATGTTGCTGTTGAAAGACTTCAGGCATAGAGGGTAGGGAGGAAAAAATGCACAGGGAGAAATGGGGAATGAAAAGGAAGCACCTGGGACATGTCCAGGCTGCCTGTGACCTGGTGAAATGTCCTCTCCAGCGCTGCTTGCCTGCTGCCACGGACACAGCAGCTGCAGACACAGACCCAGGCTGGGGATTCTCTCTCCAAAACATTTCGTGCTTCTTAGAAAAATGCTCTGTGTCTGTGGAGAGATCTTTATCAAGATTCTCCCTGAATGCCTTCAGCAGGGATGTGCTGGTGCAGCAGGAGTGCTGAAGCTGGTGGGGATAGAGCGGTGGTGGCAGCTGGGGGCTGAGGGATGCAGCTGGTGTTTTTGGCAGGGCAGGTTTGGTGCTTCCCCAGGTGCTGAAGGCTCACCAGCAGGCCAAAGCCCAGAGAAGTCCTCAGTGAGGTACTTCTGACCTTCCGAATTTCAATCAAGCCTTAATGATTTCACTGTCATTGTTGAGTCGTTAGGAAGTTAACGATGGTCCCAGCTGGCTGTCAGGGAGGGGAGAGGTCTCCATGCCCTCCTGGAGCACAGAGAAAGGCATGTGCCATACCCCAGCCTTGAAATGGCTTTGGTGTTGAGGAATCCTTGGGGATCCGACCAGATTAGCTTGGAGGCCACAAAAACAGCAGAGGTGCTGGGTAGGAACCGCTCCAGAGAAGGCAAAAGGTAATGAAGCCTCTTGTGCTTGATCCCAGCCAGGAGGATAAGTATCTCCAGTAGGAAAGCAATGTTACTTTTGCTGCTCCACCTAGACAGAAGAACAACAAAATATAATGCTAGCATTAGCGTGTGGTTTTATACTCCCTCGCAACCCATTGGTAAGCATTTAAGTATGAACGTCCCACTCTTTTTGTCATTTCTTTGTTATATTCTGTTTCTTTAATGTTCTGTCCCTGGTAACAATGTGCATGATATAGCTGCTCCCACTGCAGGGATATTGCTTTAGCGTCTAGAAGTGTTTAGATTATGATACTTTTATTTTTTTTTTCTCTGAAGATTTGTGTCCTGGTTTCTTATGTTTAATCATCTCTCCCTTTAGATCCCTCTAGCTGAGATGGAGGCTCTGTCTCTGACGTCAGATATTCTCTCTGAAAAGTCCTGGTCCTTAGCTCTGACGGATGACTCTTTTCCTGATGATACTTACACACACTTACTTAATGCTCTGGAAAGCAATGTACATACACTGGTCACTGTATAGTCTGATGTTTACAGGGTTCGAAATACTGCTTTTGCCTCCCTACACCTGCCTAATGGCATTCTTAGTTCAAGCACATTTCCAAATAGCACCAACCTTCCCCCTGAACAGGACGTTGTCCTTAATGCCATTAGGACCTGGGCTGGTACCACTCTTTGTCCACAAAGCTGGCTCCCTGCGAGAAATAAGTATTTCTTTTTTTTTTCCTTTGGCGTCTTACGTAAAAACAATGTGTTTTCTACAAGTAAAATAAATAGAGAAAGGAAAAAAAAAAAAAGGCATTGGAAAGCATCAAGGTTGAAATTTCCTCTCCATCTGAAACAAATCAGTGATGCTGCGTGGAAGAGACACCCATGAGCTAATGACTCATGTGTCCTCTGCAGAGGGGTCATCCACAACCCTTTGGTGTGTAACGGATTTTTGTCTTTATGAACACAGGCACCACAAGGCTTTTTGCATGATTCAGGCCAGACTGTTTATTTTACAAATATCAGATGGGGATCTCTCGGAGATGCTGCTTTTCTGAATTCTTACTCGCAGTCATCTCACTGGAGAAAAAAAAAAATAAAGTCTGGATTATTTTGTCTCTTTCTGAATGAAGTAACCAGTATTTTGAACCCTGCCTTAACCATCTCCTCTTTGAAACATTAGACATTTTTAGCTGTGTAGCAGTCAAGTGCTTTTTTCTGCTGTACAACAGACATAACTCCTCTTCCAACATTTTTGGATCATTCTTGTTTTCTTTGTTGTTGTTCATGTACCTGCCTTTGGATGTTTGTGTTGTTGATAAATTTTCTGCCATTCTAGTCAAATGCCATCCTAATTAATACTTATTTGGGAAACACCTCTTAAACCGTGACAATATTTCCCATCATGCTTCATGGCATCATGTACAAAAGATTTTGTAAACTGCATTGAACGTTTTGTGTGGGACATTTTGTTTCAAAATTAGTTAGTTTGGAGGGAGGAGATACCTATTTGAGTTTTGAATCAGGTTATAAGCAAGCCAGTTTGACAGCATAGTAAAGTCTCAAGGATATAGCCAAGAGAGGTTTTCTCCAAAAACGAAAAAAAAAAAAAAAAAAAAGAAAGAAGGAAAGAAAAAAAGTGAATTTGTGTGTCAATACCAACAAAGTGGTCAAGATGTCTTCCCAAACTGCTGAAAAACTGCAATCTTTTGTTGAAATATTTTCTAAATGCATTTTTTATACTTCATTTATACACAACATTAGCTGAAAACTACCTCAGACAGAATGTTTTGTTTGACTCAAAATAGATTTGGTTAGGGATTTTTATTTATTTTTTTTTTGGTTCACAGAAAACTGAAATTTGATTTTCAGTCAAGCCAAAACAACATGTTTGTTTTTCAAAACTGCCAGTGAACCAAAAAGTCATGTGCTCCCACTGCTCTGCTTGCGAGCTGGACTCAGAGGATCATTTTGCAGCCATTTTAAATGGTTTTCATGAATTTCACTCATGAGATTGTCCCAAGATGATCAGAAGCTGGAAACAAGTCCTCTGTGGTATTGGATCCTGTCAATGAACCTAGAGGCTCATTAAAGGTTGGGTTTGGACAGGATCTTGAATCCAAATTCTCGAGTTCAAACCCAAATGGTTTTGAATTTGAAAGCTCAGCTTTCAGGCCATCATTTTTGCTTTAGGCTAAATAATATGAAAGCTAAATAATATAAACATACTGCTCTGAAGGGGAAGGCAGGGAGGGAGGAACACAGAGGTTTCCCAACCCAAGTCTCAGCTTTACCAGCACAGATTTTGCTCGATCAAGAGCCTGTAGGCTCTTGTATCTGGGCTAGATCATGAGTAGATCCCAGCTAGATCCAAATGGACAGATTCCCCAGGAGTGAAAGTGACAGTGCAGACCTGTTTCCTTCATTAACTTTTCAAGTAGTCTTCTTTTTTTTTTTTTTTAATTTATTTTTTCTTCTTTTTTTTTTCTTTTTTGTAAATCCTGTTCAATCTCATTATGTGTTTTTGTGCGAATGAAATGCCACAGCGTAATTTTGTTTTTATGACTAGAGGACAAAATTAAACAAGCAAAAAACCACAACCAAACATAAAAACCACCAGCCTCAGAACGTTGATTTTGGAAAAACTGCAATAACTGCAGTGCACTGAGTGAATGAAAGACTTGTCCAAAAATAAGGTTTAAAGTTTTCTGAAAACGCTCTGCAATATACTGTATCGAATGACAATGTCACATCTGATTTCTCTGGTTTTCAATAGAGATGTTTTAAAGATGAGATAATTCTTTCGTTAGAAATGAACAGGAAAGTTGACTTTACTTCCATTTTTCTAACACTGTCACACACAAGAACACCCGGGAACAGTTCTGGGATGGAGATATATTTCTTTATGAAATCAGACCTGAATCTACTTCGTTTGATTTTGCATCTAGTGCTGCCCATTCTAAGAGACTCCTTGGCTGTAAAAACCCCACAGTCAACACATATACAATAACCCTTGCTTGCGTTAGATCCCTTCTAATTAGAGAATGGCTTTAACCCCGAAGCAGTAGGTTTATCCCTTTCAATAAAATGGGTTTAGTTATTCCTAACATGAGAAGACAACCAATAAAATTGTGCTGAGAGCCAGAGTAGGATATTTTCTGTAAAATAGTTTTGGTGAGTTTCTGGTTTCCGTTGTTTTTTTTGTTGTTGATGTTGTCATTAGAAGGGGAAACTTTGCAAAAGTCTGACTTGCAGAGGAGGGAACATGGAGAAAGCTTTATCGTTATTGCAGAGGATCAAAGTTTTGCAAAGCATGTGACTACCGCTGGCCTTGAGGCATGATGCCTTCTTTACGTACCCCCGAAATAGTCATGGTTTATTACCGCAGTGTTGCTTCCTCTGTTTCTGTGGTCCATTCCGTGTGACAGTTTCTCGACAATACCAACCGAGGGGTTTAGCTTCCTGGTAGATCCATTTGTGCCACCCGTGCATACTGACGATGTGCATGCCCATCGTGCCATACTGGTTGCAATGGCTGTCGCTAGCGTTTCTGGGCACTTCTCCTCTTCCCGACCCTACGGCTCCTCCCTTCCTCACTGCTTCTCTCCCCGTAGGCTGATCTCCGCTCCAAGGACGACACGTTGACGCTGTCCCCAGACAAGGACTTGCTGAGCGTGAGGAAGCCGTCGGTGGGGCGCACCCGCTCCCTGCCCAACGACAGCTACATGTTCCAGCCGCCGCGCTGCCGGCCCTGCGCCGCTGGCCTGGCCGAGAGGACTCCGACCCACCACAAGGCCCAGTCAGGTACAAAGCTGTGACCCCGCCGCGGGCTGGGGGGGTCCAAGCGAGTCAATAGGAGGCAGCAAATTGCCTTCGGTTCCTAGGAAGGTCTTGGGGGGGGCCTAGATGTGTGGAATGGCTTTGCAAAGCCGCCCCCTCAGCTTGCAAAGATGAGGCTGAAGGGATTGCTCCTCTCCTCCGAGCTTGGCGGTGGCACAGGGAGCTGTTGGCCTGGCTGATCGTGCCCTGGCATGGTCACAGTCAACAAGACCCAAGCTTCATCTATCTTACCCAGGCTAATTGTTGTCCAGGAACAAAAATCCCAGCAGAACAATATTTCCTTGTGCCCATTTTATTTTTTTGCAGCAGTACCTGCTGTAGAGGTTTTGGAAGCGCTGTACGGGAACATCTGTGAAAGAAGGGAAAACGGTGTCTCTAAATGCCTGTAAAATGAACATAAACATGCTGAACTGAGAGAGAGCTCGGTGTGAGATGAATGGAAAAATGAGAGTGTAGGATTGTCCTTCTCAGTGTGCGTGGTTGGGATGCACGCCTTAGAGCTAAATTCAGAGATATTCTTAGATGCAGTGTGCTGCAGATACCGAGGGCTCTATATACACCTCTGTACCTGTACTTTGAGCTGCCTCCAGTGCTTATCACTATATTTTCATTTACTGTCTCCTAGGGGTTACCTTTGGCTGGTAAGTGAATGTAGCTGTCTTTAATTCCCCTGTACGTGCTCTTAGTAGGCCATCATTTTAGACATTTGTCACAGATAAGACAGAGAAGTTTTTACAAGCATTGTCATTTGAAAGCCTCTAAGCAGAACATAATTTCAGCACTGTTCAGAATGGTAGGAGATTTGAGCAGATTAGAAATAAGATGTTGAAATTTGCATAGTAATAAGAACTTGGATGAATAGTGACTGTTGAACAGCAGAAAGAAAATGCGGACACAACGGAGGAAGATGAATCTGGAGTTGTGAGAAATCTCTGCCACAATATGAAATTTTCAAGGTCGAGAGCTGTCCTTTGAAGAATCTGTTTTCACATAATGTAAAAGGTGCAGCTGAAATCCTGGTCAAATCCCACTGAAATTAAGAGCAGAACTCACATTACCTTTGGTGGAGATGGAATTTATGGGTCTCTGTAACAGCCAAGGAATTCCTTGGAGTTATAATTCCTGACCTTTTTTAAAAAAAAAATACTGTTTGCTACAGTGGGAGTTTCCAGTGCTGTATTTCTGACCCTTAATTCAGACACACTCATCCTGTGAGTAATTTCTGAGTCCTTCCTTTCAAGATTGTACTTTGCAGTTAGTTCCCATGGAGAACTGTGTAACCCCATCTGACAGTCCTGGCTTATGGGGGCAGGCATTGCACCCTTGTGAATCCACAGGGAAAAAAAAAAAAAAAAAAAAAAAAAAAAGGTTCTGCTGAAATATAGAAGTATTTTGGAAAGGTAAAGCTGATATCTTATTCATAACTATGCTGAGCAATTAAATCTTTTGTGTTTTTCTCCTGCTGGTGAAATTCCAGCCATCTTAACTGGGCCAAAGTGCTTGGAGGTGGGTAAGGTGCCTGAATCTTGGCATATTTGTCATTGTCCTGTTCTACCTGCAATGTCACTGTTTTTCAGGGTGGGGGGGAGTCACCCCTACCTGTTTACAGTCTGTAATATTGTAAAGTGCTGTGAAGATAGGAGAAGGTGCCAGGCACCTCTAATAAATCACCACGACTAAGCCACAATATTTCAAGCTGAGAAAGGTTTTGTTGTCAGAAACACTGGCACTTGCAGGAGGTATTTGTTTGAATACTCCTTCGTAATGGGGCTGTTGTTCTGGGAAAGATTCCAGGACAAATGAGATTCTCTGGGATATGGTCCAGGTTAAATGAATTGTTTTGAAAAATGTTGAGCCCGTGTGGGGGGAGCACGCAGAGTTTCAAACCTTTTAGAAGAAGTAGCCAGCAACCACAAAGGGTCAGAAAGAGGCTGGAGAGTATGCATTTCCTTCTCCTGGGATGCTTTGTAAAGCTAGCCTTGAAAGCTGCCAGGTGCGGTTCTCTTCCACTTGATTCCCAGTGTGTATGCTGGGAATGAGATCTCAGCAGTCGACCTCTGCTTACACTCAGGTATGGGGACATCCTCTTCCAGAACCTTTCAAAAGTAGATCCCCACTGTGCTGAGATGAGTGGTTGCCTGCAAAGTTATTGGCCCTTGTGCAGGGATGTAGAAATTGCTGGTCCAGATGAACTTCTAGTTCATAATCTTCTGTTCTTTACAGGAGCTAGTCCCAGTTGGATCAGGGGAAAATGCCAAGAAAAATGAAATAATAGACCATTTTGGAATAATTTATTAGTAGGTGGAAGTTTTTTTTCCAGTCATGGAGAGCTGTTTGCTGAATTCAGTGTTCTTGCTGTGCCTGTCTGATCCAAGATGCAAAGGAGCAGTTTTCTCTGAAAGGTCACCAGAGAAACATGTCACATTCCTCTCTCTTCTTCCTCTTGCAAGGTTCAAAGGCATCAGTGCAGTCGCAGCCAGCAGACACCAGCTCTCTCCTGCAAATTCCAAAAGACCATTTTCACCACATAAGAGCTCACGACCACTTGGTCTGGGAGAGCAAATCCCAGGTTTCCCAGCCGGTGCACTCTCCTTCTGCTGAGAGGCTACTCCGTAGACAGGTAAGCTGAGGTTTTATATTGCCATGCTTTCAGGTTACCCATATTTTAAGTTCAAGGAGGGTTTCATAGAGAAACCTCTGGAGAAGTGTAATTGTCCTACAGAAATAACAAAAAGGTTGATGGATTTTGATCTGAAAGCCATCCAGGGGTCTCCAAAGAATGTGTGTGATGCGTATCATCTCCTCTGGCAATGTGCCTAAATGTTCTCCACGATGTTAGCACTTTATTTTTTCAGGTCTCTTCATAAATGCAGCCAAATGCTCCCCAGGGGCTCATTGGGGTTAAGGAACTAATTCTTAACTGCTGTGATTTTCTCAGTGCTTGAAAGGACACAGTGACTGCAAACTCCAACCCAGGCCACCCTTCCTCTGACTCCTCTCATTTCTTGAAAGGGGAAAGATGTTAAAAGGCAGCTGGATATCTAATTGTATGCAAAACCATCATGGAAAGCACATTGTTTTTACAGTGAGAATTGAAAATTAAGATCCTTTTAAATCTCCTATGTGCTTTTGAAAAGCTCGAGTATATGCAAAACAGAACATATTTTATTTTGTAACTGGTTTTATCTCTGTTATTTTGCCTGGCATTGATTTAAGCCCCGATTCAACCGAAGATCTAAGAGATCTAATCAAAGATTCCAGTCTGGTTGATTGGAAACATAAGTTTAAATTTATCCTTTTTAGTAGCATACTTGAACTTGTGCTTCACTCTCACATTTTTAAACATATTTCATTGTGCTGCTGGATCAGGACCAGAGGCATATCTGATTCCCAAACTCTGCTTTCTTCACTAGTTTGTGTCTGATTTTATATACACAGAGTAGATTGGTTTTATTTTTTCAAAAACAATTTCTTTCCTGCATGAAAATATTCCCCTTTCTTTCATCTTTTAATCAACATTGACAAATTAGACAGTTGATTCATTAAGCTCTAAAAATGAATGTGAAGTACCAAGGTTAACAATTACATTAGTCTGTAATACTAAATTGACATAAGAAATTCCTAGCATGTATTCATTTGCAGAGGGATGGCCAGCTACCCCAATCACTGCTAATGGGGAAACTAATTGATGTCATGATTCCAGTTCATAACCACTCTCTCTTGCTTTCTAATGAATAACAGACCCATCTTTTTGAACTGATCTATCTAGAATAAATTACCATGTTAGCCATCTTCCTCAACCTAATTTTGTTCGCATTTTTGCAGGCTTCTCTTTCTAAAACCTTTCATACATTTAAATTAATTTATTCCCCTCCCTCCTCTCTCTGCTCGTGCGGTGACATAACCATGCTCTTGGAGTGACCTTTCAGGAAGAAAAAGGCTTTGGGATGGTGAGCGGGTATGGTCTGCAGGCCAGTCGCATCCCTCTGAAAGCTAGCGAGGTGTTTGCCCAAGGCTTGCTCCTCAGTAGCAAGCAGCTCCCAGCACCATTAATGGGAGTTAGAAGTTGCTCCTGGCAACACGGTATAATTGCTGCTAGAGTTAATTGTAATCTAGATGGCCAGACACTGAAACTGGGTCTCTGAAGAGGTAAAATCTCCTTTACACCCCCGGCAGTTCTGCTTGCTCAAGTGCTCTCTGCTTGGCTCCTGTTATTGCCGCCACTGATGTGTTACTGGCACATCGGTATAGCCCAGGCTAGCAAAGCATTTTGATTTGCAGTACCCATTTTTCCTTACTGTTACATATATTGCATGTAATTCTGATTTGCTTTCTTTTCTTTCTTTTTTTGTTTTCTTTCTTTCTTTTCCCTTCCCCCTTTTCCCCTCTCTATCCTAAATTTGTGCATAGATAAATCTTGTCCACCACATACCTGGTCCGTGCACTTTCCTCCACCATTGACACCCGTGTCTTTAACCTCCCTTTCCCTTCAGAGTGCTGTAGAGTGGATGGACACAGTCCCCACAGTGCCATGCCATTTAGACTCTGGAAAGTTTGGCAATTAGCAATGCACTCGCAGATGAAGATGAGTGGATCGGATACTTTGAGAGAAGGTGTAAAGCCAAGCTCCCCACTGAGGAATGTGCTCCTTGGCAGTGCAGATGCTTTTCTCCAGGGGAATTCTACCTGAAACTAAAACCAGGTTGATTTGCTGGTTCCAGGACTGTGTGTCCACGGTGTAGCCCACACCAAGTTGTGGCTACTAGAGGTGTACACACCAGTGGGGTGGCAGAGGGTCCTTTTGTTTTGAAAGAAACCGGTAGAACTTTTATACCAGCAGTCACTTCTAACAACTACCAAAGATGCCTGTATCATAGGGAAAGAAAGAATTGGTGTTGACTAACGCTGTCTTTGTATGCAACACAGGTTGGTGCACAAGCAAAAGTAATGACAATAATTACTTTTTGCTGCTCTGTTCTACTTTTTTTGTGGTCTGTGTCTCTTCTCAGGATATGAACATGATTTCTGCTCCCCAAGCATTCCCCAAAGCAAATGGCATCGAGGAGGCCAGAATTAGCTCCACTGTTGAGTGTGGTTAGTTACCAGTCTGACAGTGTAAAATTTTAACTAGAAAGGATTAGCTAGTGTTGGACAAAATCATTTGCCATATTAAATATTCTCTCAGTTCTCAGAGACGACAAAGGGAGTCCAATGTGCAGATGTAACAATAGTCTCTGGTGTTCGTGCATGCACACATGTGCATACTGCAGCTGATGAGAGCTTTGCCTGAATAGAGATCGTTTGGCTCAAAAGATCCTTGTGGGACAATTTTTATAAAAATTCTAAGATCATTTTGGGGGTGATTCATCACAAAAACATTCCTTAGTATGAAGAATTTCATCTCCTTACACTTCTCTAAAGGACTGAGACCAGCTGTATGCATCTCCTCCAAATTTCTTTATGAAGTTTTTAATCTTTAAGATCATTTAAGAGTCTTCTCAAACTGAGATGCTGCCTTTAAGGGCCAGTTAATGTGGCTGATTTATAAACCTTTTTGGCAAGGGATACAATGCAGTGGAAAGACAAAGCCTTCAAACCATGCCATAGGCATTTTTTTGCCAGCAGGCACTGATGCTGCATAGGGCTCAAAACAGCCAAGGCAAAATGTGCCTTAAAAAGCCTGGACCCAAGCATCAGAATAGGTGGAAGTAATTACAGATGGTCCCATCCAGCTTCTGCATCTCCTGCATTTCAAGCTCCCACACTGTGAAATGGTGCAGAGCTGTGGCTCGGGTAGGAACAAAGCTGTCCCAAAGCCAGGGACAGGCTGTTGCCCTGCTGTGGGCACAGACTGGTTGTTCTGGTGGCAGTGGCCCTGGGGATCCTGCTCCATTCCTCAGCGCCACCTGAGCAAGAGAAGGGAATATGCAGGCTCACTCTCACAGTTTCCTTCTCCTCCTTATACCTGCACTGCTAAAAATTACTAAGTGGTTTGCCGTAGATCCTCATCCTTTGCATAACCAGAATATGTCTAAGTTTGGGTGGGGGCATTCAGTTTTTGCAGTCCTTCATTCTTACAGGAGAAAGCTGAGGTTAACCATTTATGAAGAATAAAGGGTCAAATTGTGCTGTCACTTAGACAGGGATAAGCCCACAGGTCACTGAGGCATGGGGACTGCTAGAACGCACAGTGCAGCCGAGTTGTAGGAGCCAGCGGGTCTGTGCTGAGGTATCTCAGAGAGCTGGTGCCCTGTAAATGTTGTGCCTTGCTTGTACTAACCTTTGTTTGGTCTGTCTCTCTCATCTGGCAACTCCCCTCCTCCCCGATCCCTATGCGCTCCGTACAGATGGCTATAAGGAATGACTCTTTGGATAGCAAGGAGAACCTCCACACCGAGGTGAGTGAACTCTCTGACCCAAATGTCCCCGCTGCGCCCCGGGAGGACTCATCAGGGTGCCCTGATGCCCTCAGAAGCGAAAGAGTTGGCCGCATGGAGCCGGGCAAGCGTTCATACGCAGCAGCATTCCCACAACCAGTATAACATTTCAAAGCAGGCACCAGCGTCGTGTGCTTGTGCAGACTCGTATCAGGAGACACCTGGAGATTCAGTGGACCAAGAAGTATCTGAAACAAACAGCTCCTCGGAGCCTTTCACTTCAGAAACTTGCACAGCCTCGAGTGCCTGTTCAGAGGCTCAGCCTCTCACTCCTAAGAGGAACGTGGGCAATACCGGCAGCGTTACACTGAAGGACCTGAAGAAATACCACAGTGTAGACACCCAGGGTCTTCTAAAAAAACCGCCCTCTTGGTTAGATGATCAAAGGAGACATTCAATAGAGATTTGTTCCATGGAAAACAGCCCTCAGCACCATTCCACATCTAGCTCTTCTGGCTTCATAAGTCAGGTGGTAAGTGAAATGGAAGGCTTGCAAGGAACACGGCAGAAGAAAAAACTGAGCCCTCCGTGTATATCTATAGATCCACCCGACGGACAGAGTTTGCTACCTAGAGGACCTCACAGCATCTCACCTGCCAGTGGAGATACTTGCTTGAGACGGCGTGCTCCATCAGTGTGATTCCAAGGATTCGATGGATATAGGGGATTCGTTGCTTCCAGACAGTATGTCAACATCTCCTACCCCAAAGAAAGACTTGTTGACACTTCCTAGCTTTTCCTTTGATCAAACGGAAATGGACCCCTGAGTTACTTTTCTGTTGGTGCCAAATGTTTTCTTCCTTTCATGTAATAGGAAAAAAAAAATCAAAAACTCTGTATTCCAAAATGGCACTGGGTAAAAAATTTCCAAAGAAAGATTAAAGAACCAGCTGGTTAAAAGAGTGGTTAACCTATATCACGCTTACTTAAGCATATGTTCTGCTTAGGTAAAAGCAATACAATGTGCAGAATCTATATGTATATTATATTTTATTAAATTAATTGAATCTAGTATTGCGGGATGTAGTACATTTTGTGACTAAAGACTCGTTTAATTTTTCTCTATTTTATGTATCTCAGAATATTTCTGAGATAAAGTTGGTTTTTATGAATATTTTAACCTAAAAATATATATTTAATCCCTTCTCTTTTTTGTTTTGTTTTGTTTGGGTTTCATTTTGTTTTGCAAAGCACAAAATGTAGCCAATTAGTGCATTACAGAGGAAATGTATCCCACAGTCAGCAGTAAATAAGAATTATTTAATGTAATTTATTTTTCCCCTTGGACTGAAGTCATTTTCTGAAGGAAAAAAAAAAAAAAAGAAAAAAAAAAGAAAAAAGAAAAGCTTGCTTGGATAGTATAAAAATGCAGTGGCATTTTTTTTTAAACCAAATAATATTCGAATCTTGTGTAAAATTGACATCTAGAGAAAAAAACAGGTGCACGAAACCCGGAATGTACAACACGCTGATATACACCTGGAGGTTGTGAATGTAGAGCCAATCCAACTGTACGCTGGCACTACACAATATTGACTTATAACAGGATTATTATAGATCATCCACTGGTGGCTCGCAAAATCAAGTCAATGGATAATTTTCATATGTGCCTAGGAAACCGAGGCAACAAAAGCCTGTGGTCACTTCTGAAGTGTTTTCCAGCATCTTGGAGACAGGCTGCTGCTTTTGCTGAGTTCCACACCTGCGGAAGCCTGCTGTTCCCAGGGGAGCCCCCTTTTTGCAGCAGGACACAGGTGAGAACAAGGCCAGCTTTAGGGTTTGAGCTGGGTGGCTTCAGTCCCCCAGGACAGCAGTGCGCTTGAGCACCTGTCTCAAGTTCTTGCTTAAACTGTGTTGAAGTTGATCATCTTATGTTTATGTGTTGAGCAGAATCGAGGCCTATTACAGTTTGAAAGTTATTTTACAGAGCGCATGGAAGGAAGTTTGTGAGTACTGAAATGGTTGTTGAGGGTTTTTTGCTACCACTGCTGGAGTTAACTGACACAACCCTGCTGAAATTTTATTTAGCAAATCTAGCAAAAGCCTTAAGCAGCAACTTCATGATACAAAGTCAACAAAAATGGAATCTGTGTCCTTACTTTGTTAACATGTCCTTAGCATCAGTCATCTAGGAAATGAACTGTTTGCTTCTGCGCTAATGCCCTCTGCAAAAAGCAATCACAGAAGCAGACAGCACAGCCTGAAATCACTGGGGGCTGGCCCCATTCAACTCATCCTGCTCTTCACAAGACTGATAGAAAGCAGACATTAACTTCACTGAACCTCCCTGAAATCAAATTAAGATGTAGGCTAAATAAGACTTTGAAGGCATGGTTTTAAGTATGGGAACAGTCACAGGTTTAAAATGGCATGCGTGGATAAGTCTTTGCTGGATCGCGTCCCTAAACCAGCACAAGCACGAGAAGGATTTGTGCTAATTCTACCAGTCAGGAGTTTGTAACTTTTTGAGCACTACTGATCTTTTCAAATCACTTAAAGATGTTGATACACAGCCTTTTATCCGTTCGGAGATTAGACCATTACGACTACATGTGTCTGCATTAGCTTCAAGTATGTACACCAGGAAAAGATGCTGTTTATACGTAACAGCCTGTGTCAGGTCTTAAGCTCCTTTATTTTCACTCGAAGAAGTTTCCTCCATAAACAATCCCTTTTGATTTACATGTCCTGTGAAAATGGAAGGGACTTCAGCAGGAAGTCAGGCACTCGGTGTATTTGAAGGACGAAGATTAACACTCTGAACTATTTACTGCAGACAGATTAATTCTTGGCTGGGACATTTTTCCCCTCTTCACCATGGGCCCACACAGAGAAGACTCTCTTTGATATGCCTGGCCAAATCCAGAGCTAAGCCCGTTTAAAGCAATGATTTCAAACAAACCTTTCATCAGTTCTTCCCCCAGATTATATTTAAGGAAATAATAAAATTACAGTGTATTAAGCCTGAGAAATATTCGTAATCCCTTTTTGGTTTTACACTCATAATGAGCCTTAGCTTTGCCTTTCACGTTTACTAAATAATTTGGGAAAATAGCTAGGCCACTGAAATTGCTGACCCTGATTCCTTAATGATCAGGTGTGTGTTTATATCTCTGGAATGAAACAGTCCCTTCCTGATAAAAAAGCATGCAGCATTTTAGCTTGTAATCGTGGCACAAAACGGTGATGTGATGTTAATCCAAATGCTCAACTCCAAATGTAACAAAGTCTAAAGGCTGTTCTATTTTCAAGACTTGGGGTTTCGCCCACTGACAAGGTTTGTGTAAGCAACAAAAAGTTTACATCATACATGAATATTCAATAAGGACTAGCCAATAAAAAATCCTGTACGGCGATGCAGTCAGGAAAATAAATCCATGTAAAATAGTTTGTTTTCTAAACCAGATAAGTTTTTTCTAGACGCCCTTTTGAAAAACAAATACAAATGTACTGCAGTGCGTGCAATAATCTTCAGATAATTTTAAATACCTTTGGGGGGGTTTTATAGAATTTGACTTTTTTTAATCAAAATGTAAAAAATCCACAGGAATTCTGTAGAATGGTTATGTTGATAGAATTTTTTATATTTTTGTAGAAATCTATAGAGAAATTGTTAAAAGTCTGCATAGCATCTTGGGAACAGAAGCAGCTCTACCTACAATTTTCTTTTCATAAACCTGGAGCCAGACCTACTGTATTACAACATTTATAGCTTAGTTTCAGAGCCTGCATCCAGGTTGTGTTTAGAAGTAAGCAGCTAAACTAAGGTTCTATGATATTGCAGTGCTATTACTGTTCAAGGACTGTACTGATATAAAACATCTACCCCCAGAACTCAGCCCATATTGGTGGCAAAGTAGTCGCATTGCTATCCAGCTCATTCAAGCACACCAGCACTTTAATACTGTGGATTTACTGTATACAGGCAGGAGGAGGATGTTCTGCCATTGCCAGGCTGACACAGGAGGAAGGAGAGAGATTGCAGACGTGTCTGGAAAAATGTAAATTCCATTCTTACAGCCCCTTGCACATAGGACTGACTTTTCATAGCTCGGTTACAGGCCGTTTATACTGTAGATATTTTGGAGGAGGGCAAAGAAAACACTGTTTTTGACTTCTGTGGATTGCACTCAGCACAAGGTGTGTTCAAGGAAATAAAAAAATTAAAAAAAGATTAAAAAAAGAAAACAAAAGTGTTACCATTGTAAATTAGGCTATGCCCCAGTCTCCCCTTTTCTGCCCCTTTGGCTATAATAACCCATGTACACTATTACACAAGGTGACTAGAGTAGGCACAGTACCATTGCAATGTCCGTAACAACCTAGTATATATTATAGAACTTTGTATTTAATAGTTAATATATTGTTATACTGTATCAGGTATATAGGCCAAAACAAGGTCTTCTGGTCAGGGCAACAAAAGGTGGTATTCATGGGCAAAATTGGGTTAAAATGTTCCTTTTTACAAAAAGCAAAAAGACAAAAAACGAGTGTAAATCTTTACAAATGACAAAAACAAATGTGTCCTATTAAAAGCTTTTGAAAAGAACATCCATGTGCACTTCCCTTTTTTGTTGTTGTTGATGATAATCTGTATCATTCAGATCAAATCTTGAGGAATGTTTTAATTGTGGACAGTTGGCATAGGTACTGCATAGCAGCAGCAGATGGGAAGTTTAAAGAAGCCTTGCGAAACGGCGGCCCTTTGTGAAACAATTTGGTTTGGCACCACAAGCAAATCCGGCCCAGCACGCTGCCCAGGGCGTGCTGTTTTACTAACCAAGGAGCCCGTCAGTGGTGCTTCTGCAGTTGCACGGGGCTGGCAAAGCAAAATTTGGCACGCTGCTTACCGCGGAGGAGGCTGCCGGCATTGCAGTGAGGACAGCCGCAGCCGGGGAGGATGGAGTCAGGAGAAGGGGCAGGTTTCATCTGCCCATGTAAAAGGGTGGCTGTGCAAAGAGGCCAGGGCTCTTCCACACATTTATAACTTCAGGATTTCCAGCCTGAAGCACTGCAGCCTCTCCTCCATCCCTCCTGCAGCTGTTTGGCTGCTTGCAAAGCAAGAGCTGGTGGTGGTGCTCCCCCAGGAGCTGCTGGGCAGCAGGGGCTCAGCCCCCAGGTGCTGTTTGGGTACCACCAGAAAAGTCTGGCCCTGAACTCTTCAGGGGTCTGTAGCAAAGGGGTTACGGGCAGGTCCCAGTGTGAGTTGTCTCCTTTGCTCTGAGGAGCAGCCACTAGAGGGAGAAACCAAGTGCTTGGCCATGCAGCCGGGACGATCACTCTGCAGCCAGAGGGACCCTAAACCCAAAAGCTGGCACCCAGGGCAGTTATGTTGTCTAGAGCGTGTTTTGGTGGAAGCCCTTTCATATCTATCTCCAAGTAGAAAGCAGTAGGAAGAAAACTGGCCCTTCAACAGAGACAAAATGTGGATCCATGCAAAATCCCACAGAAAGCCATGCAGAGCAGGACTCCAGAGGTGAGCTCTGTCCTGCATCCCTGTGGTGCAGGCTGCAGGGCCAACCCCACAAGGTTGGAGGGTCCTGATGGCACTGAGGGCAGCTGGGCTGGCCCCAAAAGCAGGGCAGTCTGCAGCTGTAGGCACTTTGCACCTCTCTGCACACAGGTGAGTTGAGGGGAAGTCAGATATTTCTTGTAGGGGAAATCAAATTCTTCTGTTTTCAATGTGGGTTATTGGTGGAACTTGGGAGGGGGGTTTTATTTTATTTATTTATTTATTTTATTTTTATTTTTATTTTATTTTATTTTATTTTTATTTTTATTTTATTTATTTTATTTTATTTTATTTTATTTTATTTTATTTGCTGGCTTTCATGAGTATTCCTGTGTGAAGCTTTTTTTTTTGCTGAGTTTTGCTTGTGGTTTTTAGAGGGTTCCCACCCCGGCTGGCTGCTTGTGGGTATGCTCACAACTTGCCAGAGCCTGGGCACGGCATTTTGTTCTGTTCGATGGATAATCTGGATGCCACATGGAACTAGACTGTTTTCTACGTAATGGTAGCTACTCTTGGGGAGTAGCACTTCAGATTGAATTTGTTTCTGGCTTAGTCCAGACAATTCAGTGAGTTTGGCCAGCCATCCTCCTTTTTGGAGAGCAGTGTCCCATCGGAAGGGCTATGTGCTCACCACATCCCTATGCCAGAGCTCTGCAAAACCCTGCAAGTAGCTGCATGAGAAATACAAGAAGCCTTTCAGCCTTTCTGTAGGGAGATGCTCTGGAGATGCAAAGAAAGACACACCAACAAGATTTAGACACCATCTGTACATCACCCCTACCTATCAAAAAAAAAAAAAAAAAAAAAGGAATAAAAAGCGATTTAAAGAAACGTGCCTGGCTCCCTTTATTACCACCAGCACCGTGCAAACGATGAGCTGCGATCGGCTCCTGGGGGAGGCTCCTGCAGCTGGGGGGGGCTCGGACCCACGCAGGGCAGGGGGCGCGGTGCCGGCTGCGGGCAGGGCTCGGCGCGGTGCGCAGCGTTTTGCTACCACCTAGCGAGCTGGGGAGAGCTGCTGGGCTGGGCGAGCTGCCGGCCAGGGCATGGGGATACAGCTCGGGCTGCCCGGGGTTTTGGTCAGAAAGCCCCTGCCGTGTAGCTCTGCCTGTTGGGGAATTGCTTCGTGTCCTAGTTCGGTGTGACAGAAGCAGCGCGGTGCAAAAGAGGAGGGTTTCTCCTTCTGCGGGGTTTTCCAGCCGCTAAATGTATAAATATCCCCTCCTACGGTAGGAGGAGAGGAAGGATTTGTCCCAGATTCAGGTGCTCTGTGGCAGCCCACGGAGCCACGCATTGCTTGGTGTTGGCAGGAGCTGCCCAAAGCCAGGCTGATGTGCAGCATTTCTGTGCCTGGGCTCAAGCAAAGCCCCAGGAGACAACAGCGCATCCAGAGATGATCCCAGGGCTGTCCAGCATCTCAGAGGCCATGGCAGCAATTCAAAGGCTTCTTTGTCTCTGCATGTGCTGATGTTGCCTTGAAACATTTTCAAACGCAGAGCCCAGCACATCTCCCTGTGTGTGCCAACCCGTGGCCGCTCTGCGTGGGCACTCGCACACAGCAGCAGCATCTGCGACCCGTGGGCTTGGACAGTTTAATCTCTGCTTGGCCCAGCATGGGAGGAGGATAATCACCCTGCCTTGCGTGGCTCGTGCTGGCTGGGCGCTGGCTGAGTGCTTGTCACTAGATGGCAATGCCACGAAGTGCTTTAGCTGGGATGTTTGTGTGCCTTAGATAAGGCTGCACCTGAGGTCCTGCTGTTTCTGGTCGGCTTGGCGTGTTCTCCAGCGCCGCCAGCCACCGCCTCGCTGGCGTTTTTGCGTTTGAGGATGATTGGGGTTTAAGGGTATTCTATGTGCTGTATTCTATGCTTCAGATGTGTTTACAGCACTATATAATGTTGCAACACCCTCTGGCAATTTCTATTATTGCTTGAGTCACCGGATGCTTTAACTGGCAAGTCCTCAAGGTCCTGAATAGATTATCTTTCAGTACCTATTTAATAGTGCGAATAGTGCAACCAAAGACCCCTAAGCTCCAGCTGGAAAATAAAAAGGACGGTTAAACCACTTAATTACTTATTGTGCTGACAATTATTTTGCAGAAAGAGAAGGTAGATTCCAGCTGTTCTTGGGAAAATCAAGAAGGAGTTAATGCTGGAGTCATTCTGCAAATTAAAAATGCTGCGGAGGGCAGCATGTGCCGAGCTGAGACAGGCGAAGGCAGCACAGAGCCTCTCTGCTGGGTGTCACCATCCCAGTGTGGCCGAGGGCCAGTGACAACTCCCTGTTCATTCAAACAAAGCAGGATCCTGCATTCACAGCGGGATTCCTGCAGCCACCGTGACTTCTGCGAGCCCGTTTTGTGATGAAATCCTGAACGGCTCCAGCCCATTAAAACTAGGAGAGGCTTACGTGGTGGCCAAACTGGCAGGGGGAGAGGATAACCTGTGGCAAGTGTGTTGGGGACTGACATAGATTAGTTTGGGTCTTGGCCTCAGTAAGCTCGAGTGCCATGTGCTGCTTGTCTGTGTCTGTTTGTTCATCACTCAAATCTCTTTCTGCAGCTAAACCACCCACAAACTGAGGTGTGTTACACCTGCCATGGGTTTAATTAACCTCTTTAGGCACTTAAGAGTATGTATGTGAAATTATCTAAAATGGGACAGAGACACCCAGTGCCTTCAGAATTCAGCTGCTCACAGCTGAAGCAGCTCCAGGACCACTTTGGGGCGATCTGGCTGGTTCTCAGCACGTACGGGTTCTGCTCATGGCTCACAGGGAAAAAATGTGGGAGCACAAAATGTGGGAGCACTCACGGAACAGGGGAGGATGGCATTACACACAGTGTCCTGGAGGAGTCATGCGTACACCATTTTCTCTTCCAACAGAGCACTGGGCGGATCCCACCTCACCCCAGAGCTAACAGGAGGACTTTACAAGGCAGCTGGAGGCCAAATGTGGTGTGGTCCCTCTCCCTGCACTGGTTCTCCAGGGAAGTGCCACCTCTGTGATTCCAGCCAGGGGAAAGGTCTTGCCTTCTGCTCCTACAAAGCCATCCAGCTGATAAATGCCCCAAAGCAAAGGGTGAAGCTGTGAGTAAAAGCTGAGGGCTGTGTATTCCCAGCCTGCTCCCTCATCTGTTTTAACTATGGGACTTCTAAACTGGCCATCGTGCTTTCCAGAAAGAAAGAAAGTCAAATCCTTTGCTGCTAGAAGAAAACACTATAAGCAACAGCGCTGATATTTTCAGAAAAAAAAAAAAAAATCTTCAGCTACTCATGCAGTGTTGACTTTAAGCAGTTTGTTGCAAGTCCGTATCTTACTTGTTAAAACACGGTGTCATCCTCTTTCTAACAAGTGAATTTATAGGGCCGTGCTGTAAATGCTGCTATAGTGGCCTGTTTTTCCTATCATCCGTGACACCTCTGCAGGTCTCAGGAAGGGAGTTTCTGTGCTGTTCAGCAGAGAACAAAGGTGATACTTGGAGTCAACTAACAGTAAAGCTGTAAATCCCAGAATTCAAGCCCTCCCCAGCCCTCACCCTTAAAAGTCCTTCTTTATGCTGATTTCCTTGAGAGTAGGTCATGCTTCACTTTCAGGGCCTTGCAAGTCATCATGAGGTGAGGGTTTGAAGAGCTGCCTGCCTTTTACCTGTCACTGTGCTTACACAAGTGGCTTTTCTCTCAGGGTACCTCCTTTCTGCCCAGCAATCGCTCTAGTTTATAGCTAACCTGCTTCTGTGTGGCCTTGGGTGTGCCTTTTAGGTCTTTCATGATTGCGCTGATTTTGAACACTTGCCCTACAAGTTAGCAGGTGAAAAGTCCTTTTAGCATGCAGCTGCCATGGAAAAAAGGATGCAAATACATTAAGGAATGAACTCGGATCTGATCTTGCCACTCCCCAGAATAAAGATATGGTGAGAAAAGGTGAGTTCATGACCTTCCTGACATTTATACAAAAGGTGCCATTGAGTTTTTCTACTGTAGCCAGCCTGCGTTTTGGGGAACATCACAGGAGTGATTACATGTTCTAGGTAC